TGGTTCGGACAAGACACCCCCCAAATTTGGTGTGTAGCCATAGGAAAATTCGGACAAAAGACCGCCATGGGTGGCAGCCAGAATGAAAAATTCGGACAAGACACCCTAAAATTTACCATAAATTGCACAAGAAAATTCAATGAACAGGATATACAACCAGTTGCACTCTGCCAGCATCGGAAAATTTGGGCGCTTATGCCATGGCCGGAGGGAAATTCGGACAAAAGTCCCTCCCAAAATTCTACTTTTGGTTCGGACAAAATCCCTCAGGATCAGGCAAAAATTTCATATGGGATCATAGGGTATAATCAGGGGTCCTGGTGAGGGCCTGGTGAAGGCTATGCCAACCAAGCTTTCAGGGCACCAGGTGGCGAACTGATTGAAGTCTTGAAGACATGTAGCAAAGAGATGGCTGTTGCCTCAAGTACAGCCATTGCCAGCTCGAAATATTAGCAAGAAAAGTCCCGTTGTATTGTTCAAGTGTAGACATATATATATTGAGGTTGAAGGGATAGCAATGAGTGAGGGAGAATGTGTTGTACCAATAGCCAAAGGAACGGTTTCTGCCGAGCGGTGGTAAGAGGTGGGCGAAGCGGTAATACATGATGATTACATCAGATCAAGAGTGCTAATTTGGGTTAATCAAGCTCCAAAGTAGCTTCAACGACCACAACGACCATTCCTTGAACAGATAAAACATATTATTCCACCTCTCAATAGAACTTTACACAAAGGACAATCAGGTAAATTTATTGTCTTCAACCACAGATAACGATTTACGTTCTTTTGGTAGGTCGTGTTATGAAACGGAATCTAACTCTTTACACGAGCTAGGTGCCGTCTCGAGTGTGACGGGAGGCCAGTTAGTTGGGGATTGATACGAACGAGTACGAATGGTGGGATTATTTTTTGGTTACAATTGGTTCTCTTCGAGTCTCCTCAGTGGGGGAGGGAAATCTGATCTCATTCTCTCTGTCTCCTACAGTCTCCTACCTACCCTCTATGTATGGAACCTGTGTACCTACCCTAGATCTGAAACTAAATTACAGTAGATCGGTAGATACTCTAAGGCTTAAAATTAGTGAGGGAATACTGCCGACGTCCTCACAAATCCAGTGTATGCACAGGATTTGTCGAGTTCCATGTGCAGGAGCACATGGAGCTCGACAGTGTTGAAGTCTTAGGCGGCACTTTAGATATGGTGAGGGGATTTGGTGTGGGCAGTTGAGTGCAAATAAGCCTCATAGGAAGTACTATAAAAGGGGGGTGCTTTCAGTTGGCCATCCTCATCTGCTGGCCCAGTCAAACAACCATTTTCTTTGCAGGCAAAGAAAGACTTTCGATCGACACCGCTTGAGCCTTCGCCTTCCATCTCGCCAACTCCCTTTGAATCCAAACAAAATCTCGAATCAGTAACAATGCGTCTTGCTGCCTTTTTCGTGGCTAGTGCTCTTGGCCTGTTCACTGTTGCATACGCAGCACCTCTTGTTGTAGGTTGTTGCTGTTTTGACTTGACCTGGATTACACTAACCATCTTCCTCTGTAGGCTACAGACACCGTTGATGAGTTGCTATCGTTACATGCTCGGAATGTGACTGCCCGAGGGTCACCAACACCCGAGTCACCATCACCCAAGTCACCGCCACCATCATCCGAGTCTGAACAACACTTGATATTTTCATTCCCTTCTCCCGAAACAGTCAGATACAAGCATGTGGATGACGGCCAAACGGTTCCTGCTGCACAAAAGCCTAAACCTACTACCGATGGCAACAAAGAAACTGTGATGAACCGAATCGAATCTTTTTTTCCGAAGGAGGAATACCCCATACAGTCATTCCCACCTCCTTTATACAGTCAAATCTAGTTGCACCTCGGAATGAGCAAGCAAAGCATTGTTTTCAAATCTGATTTGATAGAAAGTAGGTATAAATCATACTGAACCATATGTGCTCTAAGGATTTGCAGAGGCAGGATAAGAATGCATGCGATCAAGCTTATCAGTGTAAAAACTCGTTATCAGTCCATACAGGCTCCTTTATACAGTGGTCACATTGACAGTGATTTACATATTGGGTGATTGATAATCAATGCAATTGAATACAGTTGTCTGATCATGCGCCCCATTTTAGGAAGTGTGATGTGACATGGTCGGCTCCATCCTTGCATCCAAAACCTGTTTTCGAGAATTTCTGGACATGACATTCATCTGTAGTTCCATCTGCATGTTCTAGTGTACTCCTTACTGTCATACCTTGCCCATGGAGTCTTTTTTCTAGTCATAAGTCATCTATTCGTTCAGCATTTTGCTGTATAAAATTCAACTTTGGTGTATTTTGGCATTATACAGCGAGCATAACTCAAACTTTAGGGAATTTCATCTGACAAAGTATCGGATATCATGTATCAAGCATTTTTCTAAAGATATATCACAACTCCGAAGGCAAAAAGGGACACTGTTCATCATTCCGGGGCTACTGTATAAAGGACATCAGATGTATAAAGGACATGGGAATGACTGTAGTCTTCGATCCAACGCATCCCTACCAAAATTTGGGGAATGGCCTTATCTCATTCCGCATAGATCATGATGTCTCGGAGAAAACTCATTTTCTAGTGACAATTTATCGGGAGCAGCCGGAGAATAAGCGCGGTGTCACCCTTACAAAATATATATATTTGGAGGTTAAGAACGGAGATCCGCAATTATATCCCTATCCCGCTCGCTGCGGCCCCTTTACGTCGTTGCTATGATATGCTGTCTTGTAACTGTACAGTCTATGCATACATTACAATCGAAGTGGTTAATCAACACTACAAAAAATTATGTGTTTGTCCCTGCTTGGTCCAATCATTCCGATTGGCTAGACAAATTTTGTCTTAACATAAATGCACGTGCTATCTATATCTAATAAGTTACAAACGAACACTGCACGGGCGAAGGTAGCGACTCGCGAGTGGGCGGAGCAACGCGACGCCCTGAGCGGAACTGAGCTTCTCATTGTGCATCGCACGGGTCACTGCTAGTTGAACACTCAAAATCATATTATTGTACATAATATAATAATTATATGAATGCATATGAACGCACGAAACGCGAACGTGAACGCAGAACGCACCAACAGAACGCAAAATTCTACCTACCGGTTGTTTGCCCTATTCAAAGGAAGTTTGATCAGTGTAGTCGATGATTACCCTGTTTTGGAGGTTGTTTGTTCGCCAGTATAATTCAACTATCCTGTCCTATCCTATCCTTGAATCATATAATTACTGGCCAGGGCCAGCAGAACGAAGTAAATCGTCGACATTAGACAGATACATTCCCCAGTCAAACCATCTGTGAATGTATGTGATTCAGTGTAGGGTTTTTGAAAGAAAAATAATAGACCACTGACCCATCTCTCGCGGGTGTCGCATTGAACATGTTTGTAAATGGATTTTGGGCAGGAAGGGCTTTGACATTTTGATCCTCAAAACGTTGGTTCTGCGTTGGCGGATTACCATCAACGAATCCTGAATATACATACATTTTTAACGACTGCAGTTTGATTGAGAATTTGAGAACTACACACACCTGCAAGAACAGTGTGATCTTGGTATCCGGCAGTCTCACCAAAGTCCCAAGCTTCAGGAGGCACGACAGAGGATGCACTTGAATTTAGAGTCGCGCCGCCCGTAGCAGAATCCAAATCCGCATATGCAAAGCAATAGGCAGAATTTACATTGAGCTCATTCGTGAGTCCCAAACGTGAATCCTGGGCCGGTCCAGCATAAGTGTTGATGTCTGGGGAGTTGATCGACTGATCATCCCAATGATGATCACTGCCTAAAAGCACAGGAAGCCTCCCTAGATCCTCTGTATGAAGTGGTAATTCCATCATACTCTCAATCGCCATAGCTTGATTGAAAGATTCCGCAGTTCGTGTGGAAGATGAAGAAGGTATCTCGAGGTACGAAGAGGAATGATGCTGCGACGAGCATGAAGATGACGGCAGAGCGGAGGAGAAAACGGTGCTACTGTTCGACTCGGGGTATTGAACTTGTGCACTCTGAAGCTGCTCGTGGAAAAGAGAGGATTGCGATTCGTAGTTGGATATGTTGGAATTATAGTGGGGATGAAAGCCATAAGCATCAGTAGTGGCGCCGTCTACGTTGTGTGTCCTGGGTTTCTGCACGCGATCCCTATATTTCTCTCTGTCTTCGTCCCGGTCGTGTTTACGAGATGGGGAGCCGGCATTAGACGGCCCCATCACGGATATGAGCTCGTTGATTATATCGCTGTCAAATGGAAGGGAAAAAGTTATGGGAGAATATGGCTGACCAAAGCTGAACAAATGCTCACCACATCCTTCCAGCGTTCTGATATCTCTTCTCGTAGCCCTTCAAGATCCTCACACTCAACTGCACGTCTTCCATCTCCCTTTTCATATCTGTTGCTAATCCCAAGCGCTTGCCACTCCAGAGATTTAGAAGAATCATGATAGCGGAATTAAACAGGATCACTGCTGAGTTTGACATTTGAGTCGGAATCGAGCGAGGTTCAGATGTTACGGACGACGACGCCGAGAGATACTGAGGGGAGTGGAAGTTCTTCCTTTTAGAATGCAAGTCCAATACATGCAAACACGAGCGAGCAGCATTGGCGCACACCCCCAACGAGGAATACGACATTCCGGAGTAGTGTCGCCGTTGTTCAATTGAAGTTAGAGGTCTCTCTGGGCGAATAAAAGGTCTTGAAGAATATGAGTGTTTTAGAAGACAGTAAAGATTGTATGCTTACCTGTGAACATGAATTTGCACAAAATAGTACGTGCAGTACAGTGCACACGATTGTTCAAAGAAAACCAAATTTTGCATGTGGGGATCCCACCGTACTATAACCCCTCATTAATCATGGCGATGAACAGACGAAAGACGACTCCTCGACGTACGATGATCAGGAATATTGTCTACCCATTGGTTCAATGCGGAGTCCAACTCAGAAACCACCCGTGCATCCCATGACGACCCCCAGAGGTCGGATGAGCCCCAAACTTCCGGAGGCTTCTTCACTGCGTACTGTGTGGAAATATCCTAGTTAGTGACAAAAATCGGTACAAAGGCGATGTTCTTACGATGTTCTTCTGAGCGAACGCGAGAATGTCTATCAACTTCAAAAATGTTCTCCAATACGCTGACAAAGACGTCTGCCCCAGAGGCTGTTTGAACGCTTGCTCTGGGTCCGGATGCTCCCAAAACTCCTCGTCGCATTCAATGGGTAAGTCGAGGTCGTATCTAAAACGGTAAATATTCCGCATTAGCTGAACGATAATAACCAGGCAAACGACAACCTACTCGGCCGGATCGGTAGCTTTTGGTCGTCCCAAAAATATACTCGTGAACGAATCAAGATTGATGAGTGCCCAATACGCCCTCTTCCACAATTCCTGTTGGACACTGGGCTTAGTGCCAAGAAAGGTCCGTCGGTGTGCACCAACAGCTTGAGCATGCCGCACACCAATACTAAGCAGAATCCAGATTGGGCCCGGGGATGAGGTCGACGACAGAAAGACGACCAAGCTCTGAAGGGGAGAATGAGAGACAGTCGGAAAGTAAACAACTGAAGCGAATTAAAAATTGTAATGCGACTGACACAGATAGTTTGAACCTTATACAGCGCATTCGATGGGTTCGTCTCTTGCATTTGAAGTATGTCTATTTGATTGATGTACTTCCACCCTGTACAAAAAGTATTGAGTCAAGCGTTTCGATCCCGCGGCGAAATGGATTGCAAAAACGTACCAGCACTATGTCCCCTTTCCTCCGAGTTCATGGGTGCATCATCGTCAAAGATCCTCTCATCAGACGAAAATCTAGCGCCCAATGCACACACCGACAACACCAGTTCGCCAAAACTCCGATCACGTTCATGTAGGAAAGAATCAAGATCTCGTTGAAATGTTGGACGATGAAGAAGAGGAAAGAGGGGGTTTCGGTGTACGAAGAAGAGGTCTATAAGAGACATGAGTAAACTATGCGGTGGGAAACTTAGTTTGGGCGAAGGCGGTTGCGGTGGAGGGCATTGCCACTGGAGAAAGGTAGTCAGATTTGAGGGATTGAGAATGAGAGAGGAACATACAGGATAAATATTCCAGAATGCTGCTCTCTTCTTTCCTTCAAAGTGTGTTTCCTGCACATCCGCTAATTGCATAACAATGTTTCCATTGGAGTCTACATCCACACTCGTTCTTTGGGCATTGGCTGGCCCTTTCTCAGCACTGCGCAGACCAACATTATCATCGTCATATTCCTCCTTGATCTTTAACACTGTCTTCATCAGCGCCAACTGGCTCGAATTTCCGAAAAAACTGTGGACGCTTTCCTTGAGCTCAATGTTTTTGATACCGTCAGCAAGGTTGTCTTCAAGTGGCGTCGCATCTGTATTGTCGGTGGAGGTTCGGTATACTGGCTCGGAGTATAAAGCTGTTGGATCAGTAGGATAGAGTGACGTCGAGTTAACATAAGGATTTGAAGAAGGACTTGAATGTGGAGAAGGATTTGGTAGAAGCTCTGGAGTAGTACGAGAACTACTCGTGCGTGGGCCAGCTTGCGACAAGGCTTTCTCCAATGAGCGCGCATATGCCGCTATTTCCGTGAGCGTACGATGGAGGAAGGTGTTGTCATTCACCGGCACTTGATATGAAGGGGCATCTAGAATGGTAGATATTTGGTTTCTAGCAAATGTGAAATTGTTCGTCGCGTTTGAGATATTGGGTTGATTCAGCTGGGTAAGTTCTGGTGGTGCTGCGGTAATGTTGACAAAAGCCGTTTTTTTCTGAAAAAAGTTGTGAGAAGAAAGGATATTGACGATCCTTTGTTAACGCACCTTGCTTGAGGAGCTATGAGTACATTCAGAGTTCTACGATGGAATTTAGACCCTAGAAATAGACGCGTCAAGCGTGAATCCTCACGAAAGCTTTACAATTCGAACAGATATTTCCGGGCATTTTGGCGCTGTCGCCTGTTCAGAAAGCCTTCAGTTGAGGGCATTATCAACATTGATGAATCGATAGCTCTTACATCGGACTGTGATAACGAAGCCAGGCAATCGTTAAATTGGGCGCAGGTACGTTCGATGAACATAAGGAACTAACTCTTTCTCTGTCAAAGAGCTTCAGTGTGAAGATCACATCGATCCAAGAAACCAACATACCTGTTTACACGCATCGCAAGCACCTGGTGTTCGACGTTTCTTGAATCCACCAGGGGGTTCATCGTATAACTGCACTTCAGCCTCGGGTGCTGCCATTGTGGTTAAGTGGGACTCCTCGAAGGTTCTGATTATGCAGCCGGAGAGACAGGCTTTGGAGGAATTCCGGCTAGAAAGGAATGATAGTCCATCTTCGCGGAAATGTATGGATCGGAGAAAGTGAGTCGGAATAATTTATGTAGGCGGCGAGTGATTATGTACGTGACTGCGCCGCATTCTACAGCCTAAGGAACTTTTAGCTACTTTTCGAAACATGTCCCACCGATTTTATCTCTAGTCACGGCGTATAGGCTCAAGTGATTCTCTCGCCATCTTGAATATACCCCTTTCTCAAAAATAGGGCTCACAAACACCCATCTCCTCCTCATTCTCCATTGAATATTTTTCCATCGCACCAAAATAGACAATACCATTCCCTTTAGTGTCGCATGCCAACTAATAAAGAACCTCGACAGCTCCGCGTACGAAGAATGATGTCCTCAATAGGATAGAATCTACCCAACGATTTAAGTATGTGGAATCCGAGTCCATATTCCCCCAGACTCTTCTCACTCAAAATAGCTCTAGCTCTTCAGACTTATCTTTCTCCCTGTACATTGCCTCTCTGGCTTAAGTATGCTTATGGCACATGACAAGTAGACGTTGGGCGACAGGATACTTCACTATATGGCTCAGCCTCGGTCGTGCACAGCTTGTAAGCCGCGTAGATATCTTTCACCAAGGCTGAAGCCAGCTTGAAGTAGCAGGGCCTAGCATTCAAATATGAGCGGACCTTGCGAAGGAGCTTGTCATTTTTGAAGAAAGTTAGTACCGACAACATCGCTATGTAGGATGCGCCCCAGCACTGTCACATGAGGTAAGACAGCAGATGGACTGGTCCGTATCATTATGTACTTGGCAACCTTCGAATGACGCGAGGCGTTCAGCTCTTGGACCGAGCCGTGTAATAAACTTTCCTTCCTTTCCTTTCCAGGGCTATATATCTCCCCTCGGTTCCCTCGACTATGCGGTCATTTCCCTCCCTTGTTCCAACCTACCAGTAACTGCCTGCTCTCCACTCGAACTCAGCGCTATAATGTTCGCAGTCGTCTTCATAATATCCATCCTCGTTGCGTTCGGTATTCAATTCATCGGAAAATCTCTAAGGCATCCATTGAACCGTTTTCCTGGGCCTCAATTGGCAAGGTATACGACCTGGTACAGAGCTTACTATGAGCTCATCAAAAAGGGTGGCTGGCTGAGGCAGCTTGAAGTGCTTCATGCTATATATGGTAGGCCTTCATAATCGGCCCTCAGGAGCATCTACTATTTTCCCACTCTCAACGTTTTTGCGCGTTCAGGACCTATCGTGAGGGTGGGACCCAACGAAGTCAGTTCTTCATTATTTCTACTTTTATTGAGTAATTTTTTTGCGGCTACTACAGTTACACTTCAATGATCCTCGTGCATATGGTGAAATTCACGCTCCGGGGTCTCGTTTCCACAAAGATGCTGCTTTGTACAGTATCTTTGGAAATAAGTCAGGATCTGTATTCACCACATTGGACCCTCAGGTTGCAGTCGTGGTCAGGAATGTACTTTCTCCGTACTTTTCACGACGCGCCATCGTCCCAAGAGTTGCAATCATACAAGAAAAGGTCTGTCAGTCGTATTTTTCTCTTTCCGACCTGATTGATTTTGAGCCTCGGCCAGGTCATTGATTTCATCTCTCGGTTGAAAGCCCATACCTCTGGATCTGGAAAAGCGATCAACCTGGACCACGCCGTTCATTCAGTGGCATTGGATGTCCTCACTTCGTTGATTTTCTCCAAACCATTTCATGTCCTCTCCGCTCCCGAGTTCGACCATCCGTTCATTCGGCATATCGAACCAACTTACACGAACATTTGGATCAAGAAATATCTTCCAGACATGAACACTCCTTTCCTGGTAGCATTCACGCGTTTTACGTCGAAATTTAATGCTGTAGCGAATGTCTTCGCGGCCCAACTTGAGCTAGTCAAAGAAGACCTTGATCTCGCGCTGCAGGACGTTGAGGTTCTTCGTGACGGAAATTCTAGCTCTGTGACTGACGATACAGAAGAATTCGAGAACGACTTGACACAAACAGCCGCGACAGATGGAGCTCTCTATCCTTTTTTTCTCCGGAAGGTCCATGAGCAGATGCGGAAATCAATGAGCTCCCCTAATACATTGAAACGATTACAGCAATTACTCGGACGCAATCGACTCATTGGTGAAGGATTCAACTTGCGCTTTGCAGGAACGGACACTATAGCGAATACGTGTGTAGTTGGCATTAGGTATCTCCTGTCGCATAAAGATATTCTGGAACGCCTGGTGAAGGAGCTTGATGAAGCATGGCCGCAAGATGATGATATCGCCTACGAGGATTTGGAGAAATTGCCGTATCTGGTCTCAATTGTCTTTTCAACTTGGGTTCAATTAGATACTGATATACCGTCCTTGTTCACAGACTGCAGTAATCAAGGAAAGTCTTCGTTTGTCTCATGGAGTCGTCACCCCCTTGGGAAGAGTTGTCGGTCCGGAAGATGCTATGATAATGGATGAAAGTATCCCGACTGGTGTAAGCAAATTTTCTCTAATCTTCCCCGCATGCCTATAGATAACCGATTGGACTACCTCATAGACAATTGTAGGAATATCATCTGTGTTCGTTCATTTGAATACGAATCTCTTCCCTCAACCTACCAAGTTCAATCCTGAAAGGTGGTTGAAGGAGTCGCCATCGAGGACAGTGGATTCAATGAAAAAGGAATCTTCCTCTGCTGTGACCGAACTCAACGCAGACAAGTATCTCGTGAGCTTCAGTCGGGGACCACGAAGCTGCATCGGCATTCAGTAAGGCTGTGATTTCTTTTATTCAGGCGGTAGTAATTCTAATTTCAAATTGCGGACATACAGTCTTGCTTGGTGCGAGCTATACATCGTCTTCGGATTCCTCTTCCGAAAACTAGAGTTTGTTCCTGTAACTGAATTGGACCCTAAGTGAGTGTACCATACCTTCGTCTCACCGTAGTGATACTGATAATCTCTGCTTGAATATCATGATGATAGCCAACCTCTTCAATTCAACGATTTCTTTATCCCAACTTATCCGGGAGATCCATTGCTTGTCACCGCCAGAGAAAGAACGATCTCTCACAATTGAAACAACTACATACGAGTATTCCTGGAATTCCTCCTTGTGCCTTGCTTGCATATATAGATCCCAAACTCCTTCCACATGTTGTTTTATCGTTCTGTTACAGGGACCTCTCTAAATCCGCTGTTAATTGAGTCCCTTCCCGCGATACGAGTGGCTTGGAGTTTGAGCTTGACGCACTAAGGCATTTTACAGTGTTTACGAGCATTGAAGAGTAACGACTGTATCGTAGAAAGTCAAGGATGTCGATGAGGACGGAGATAGGTCGGACCTTGATTGTGATTGAGCGGGCCGAACAATTTGAATTACCTAATAGGTTGTTTGATCGAATGTGGAGAAAAACTCGATTTTCGTTCCTCCTCTCTTTCTTGAATTACATTGTCGGTGTTCCTCCCTCTTCCTCCCTAACCCTGTTACACTTTTTCGAGTCTTTGCTGTACTCGCTCGCTGGGCTAATCTTTTTATCATTCTTGAAAGTAATCTACCAGGTCTTTCTGAACAAATACTTGTAAGTTATCAGGAATTCACCTGTCTGCTGAGCAGAACTGATCTTGATATAATGACTAGAATTTGTTGCCTACCGCTCTTTTGTGAGTGCTAGAGTTTAATCATCACCTCATCTAATTAACTCACGCACTTAGTTTCGTAGACACCACTGCTAAACCTAAATCACATTCACAATTCTAAAAATGGGACGTGCGCTGTATTCACAGTCTTATGCTCCAGCAATCCGCGAACCTTCATCCTCTCAATATGAAAAATGGAGTATCAGCAACCCTTTTGATCCAGATTCGGAGGAATTCTTCGAGGGAGCTCAGTATGAAGCCTTTCTTCCTACGCCCACCAACTCCAGCACAAATAACGGCGAATCAGCTATTCCGACCAGAGTGCCTATCAGCGCCACTCGTGCTACAATGACGCGTGACGTTAGCCAGCCCCTAAGAACGTCGCGTGTCAGAATATCCAGTGAAGACCCATCTGTCACCTCAGCGTCCAATTCCCTGATCTTCGACTCGGTACCACGAGATTTTCCTGACATGGATGCACCCACTCTGCCCATTTCACCTCCGCCTGTGACCATCTCCGACTTCATTGACGCAGACATGGAAACGACAAGACCAACTCCTAGTCCCATGGCGGCGGATTCAGACTCTGAAGACCCCATTCGCATCTTGGCTGGATTCATAAACGCTTCGCGGAGTCAGGGAGAAACTGAAGCCAACATCAATGTATCCGAGATCCTGCGGCAGTTGGATGAGCGCTGGCGAAGAGAGGTCAGGGAGGCTCAGAATCTTCTACGAGATGATAACGGAAGCCGACCCCAGCGATATCTCCCACCACTTTCCTATCCTTCCTCGAACGCAAGTTCTTCCTATTCTCGTGCTGACTCGCCTTCGTCTCCGATCTTTTTCCCATCTCCGCCATCTGAGACGCTGCCTACACCTCCGACAATGTCCAGGGAACTGGCTGTTTTCCCCGATTCAGAATCATCCCGCCATCTTACCTTCCACTTGGATGAAGATTTGGAGCAGGTCGAACGCGAATTGCTGGATTTTGAGTCGCAGAGTGTACTAGACGCAACTGAATCTCTCCCTGCACCATTTTCCGAATCTTCCTCCGCACCTGTAGTCCCTGCCTCTCAATCACAGACTCCTCCTCGTCCCGTTCGAATCCGTCACCATCCTTCCAGTAGTGTCGGGAACGAAGTTGGGCTTGACATGTCTCCTCCTCCATCAGTTTCGCCGCGTCTGTACAACTGGTCTCGAACCGGATCAGAGTCACGCCCGCGCTACAATTCCCTGACTACTTCGTCCGTGAACTTTGGAAGACACGAAGGGTTGCGTTCTGTGCGAGGCGTTACAATTTCTGAGGGGAGGTTTTAGCGACCGACGGAAAAACCACTCAGAGGAATTTTACAATCAGGCGACGATTTGAGCACCTCAAAAACTGACTGTGTCTTACAGTCGTTCAAAAAAGCCCGATATACCAGCTAGCTTTGTCCTGGTTTGTGGTCACTATTATTTAAGTATCATCGTCTATCCTTTATCTTTTTTTCTCTTTGTCTCAAATTTCGTTTATGTGTGTATCTTCTAGTACCCATGTAATGCTCACTGTGTCTTTTTTTACTCGGTATGCTGTCGAATACGCTCTTCCATCGGATTTTTTTGTTTATCCAATCAATATCTTATGTGGCATATATATGTTTTTTCATTCTTTTTGTCGTGGCATTTGAGCGTTGTGGTTGTCTCGCCGAGATGAACAGCGGCACGATCATCCTTGATGACCACGTATGCTAACTTCGTTTTTCGCCACAGAACCACAGGCTATAACTACAGCTACGAAGTATAAAGTATTCCGCTGTTTTTTTGTTTTCAACCACATCCCCTGGGAACCTTATTTCCGTTAGCGGCAGGTCCAATCCATTGTTCTACTGTCCAATAAGTGGCTCTTTTGGCCACCAGGATCGAGCACTATAAAAGTGGTAGGTGAATCTTGCCTTTTGTGCGAAACTTGTCCTTGGAATAATCCACTGCTCGAAATACCTCTTTCACAGACCTTATCATCGAGCAAATCAATCTAGGCCCCATTGATCATGGGACAGCTCTTACACTCTATCCAATTGGCCGCTAAAGAAGAAGAGCGTGCAGTGGCTCGTGCAGCAGCCTCTTTCAACGGTAATAAAGGGAGACTTAAACGAATGTCCCTCCACTATCCTGTTTCTGACCTTCGGTCCACGTCAACGAACGGAGATGAGCAGGAAATGCAAGACTCTGACGAGTCAGAGGATGGTGTTGTTGAAGTAGCCGAGTTTTTTGACTCAACTTCGTCGTGGGTCATACGAGGCCCGAACGACTCGTTCTATGTGTCGAGCCGTCATCGTCCAGTAGGCGCTATTGCCAATGAGCAGGCTTTTGTTCGCGATCTTGCCACCGGCCGTCTTGAATTGGTTGAGCCCAATGACTACTACTACTCCGATGAAGATTTCGAGGACGAAGAAGAAATGAAACTAGGTCATGCTCAGGAGGAAGACACTTCGGAATTAGAAGAGTTGGGAGAGGAGGAGGAGGGGAGTGAATTAAGTGCGGAAGAAAGCGATGACTCGGACCCGGAGTAACCTATCCAGCGTTCAAATTTCTCACAGGAGGTTTACCAAGAAACATTTTGAGAGGATGATCATGATTTGTCTACATGTCTAGGTTCTGGTGAGGCCCTGGTAGAGAAGTGTTAGAAACATGCATATATGTATAATATTCACCGATTTGAACATTTATATTGTATCCGACGTTGACTACTTTATGCCATTGCAATTTTGGGTATAAAGCGCTTATGCCCTCAACTACCTTCTACCTGCTCCTTGTTCATCGTGGCTCGAATTCAATATTTTTCCATTGTAACAAGGAGCGCGCCACACGACTTCCAAGCACTTTGTATTTGAATGTCCAAACCTGGCATGCGCTTTGTGCAGTCATTCGCCACCAACGGAATACAATGAACGGTCAACATGGGGACGAGTAGCTTCGCTATAAAAGGCTTGATTTCACTACGACAACTATAAGTTAAATCACTACTCCCACTCGAGCCTTCGAATTCCATATTTCAAAGACCAAATTGATCGGAACCATGCGCCACACTACTAGGCTGCTCGCTCCCTACAATGACTCGCGATACCCAGTCTTCCAATCTTTCGAGCACGATTTCGGCGAGGAGGCAGGGTCCGAAGACTTCCCGGAGAATTTTACCATCTACTGCTCATCCAGCTCCGAACCAGAATTTAGGGAAATGGAACAGCGCCAAACTCGTCTCACAGCGAGTGAAATCGAGAGAACGTGGTCCTCTCTGGCGGAACTTCACGAGGGCCTGGACCTCAGTCGCTTTACGGACGCCGATGAGGATGTCAGTTATTCAGACACATCAGAGGACCTTGCTTCGCATTCAGAGTCCTCGTATCCATCCCCACCAGAAAGCGTGAGGGAAGAAAGGGCCTATCTTCACCAGGACAGAACGACTGCCCCACGGGACCTCGTTGATCAGCTGCTAGACGCTCCCCAACGTTCCCCTTCCATGGGGTCGTCCATAAATCCCAAGCAGGAATCTAGTCCTAAGGCAGTTCATCAATCAGGTTTACCTCCGTACAAACCCAAGGAAAAGAGGAATCATTTGGGCGGGTCAAAGTGAATCGAAAAATAAGCGAGGGAGCGAAGGGTCGTATCTCAGTAGCCCATATGAAGAAACTTTTGCACATAATCACCCATTAGATAGGAAGCGATTTTTTTTGAGCAAAAAACGATCACTTTTGGTATTTGATTGGAGCGGGTAGTAACATATAGCAACTTCATGGCCGGCATACTGAGTTTCGATGACTCTGAGAGAGCAGGAGCAAGAACAAAATCTAGACAAGCGCCAGAAATCTATCTTAGACGCGCGATGCCCGGCATTCGTCTTGCCTCCCTGACAATGATACCGTTTATCCGTCAGCGACGACCATTGACTTGCATTATCGTCAGGATCGCGATCGACTTCATGTTGCACAATTCCGGGCAATCTCCCATTCCTCTTGTTTGTCAAATACCTACCGCAATCGAGAGTTAGTTGCCTCGCTTATCAAACCTCGGCGTGCCATGCCGATATTTTAGTTGATCCGACGGTTGATGGGTTGCCGCCCAGATTCGAGTATCAAATTATAGTAATCATCTTTTTTTGGTTGGTCCAGTGACTTCGACTTCAGGTAGAATGCCATACGGCCCTATTCGGGATCCCAAGCTAAAAACTCACCTAAAGTTACATCAGGTGATGATGGAAGTGACATTTTTTTCTTTGCCTTTTTTACAGTTGACTCAGAAAATAATGGGAATATCAGAATTTTTTTCCTCGAGGTGTGAATAGTGATGCATGATGCTCATATTATCTATGAAAAAGTTACTGAGTTTTACCCTTTTCAGCATTTCTGGAGGATTCTTTTCTGCATTCTGTTAAGATCATGTACACCGTGTAACCGTGCCAGAGGCCACAAGGTGTCTAAGTGCAGGAGGTCGAGTGGGACAGTAGTGAAGTTATTAACAACACCGCCGTTACACCGTTAGTCCCCGGAGATCGAGAGTATAGAAGGGAGGAGCTGAGTAGCAGCCAAGTCGGAGCAGCGGTATCGCCAGTGACGAGGAGCGAACCAAAGGACGTCTAAGTCCTAAGGTTATAATAGAGAGTACTTTCAGGCGATGAGCCTGAAGACTTAGAGGAGCACAGATTTTGGAGGGAATCTAAGTCAATAATTAAACTGAGGAACTACAGTAGCATACAGGCAGTATTTATATCTACGGATCGGCGCATCGGTGCGGAGCGCTAGACTAACTACTAGGAGCTATACGTGTAGTACCTGCAGGGTAAAGTAAAAGACAATAAGGAGGGACTAGAACGAAAGGGTATGTGTAGCGAGAAAGAACAATAAGAGTGAGATTACAATAAACGGTGGATCTTCGGAATACCGAGCGGCGGAATGGAGGCCCAAGGCATGGACTTGACACATTCTCTGATTGACAATAACCACAAAATATGTTTAAAAGTGACTCAAGGATTTAGACCAGCTGATCAGCATAAAATTTGCTCTACATGTCAACTAGCACTGTCTAGTGTCAACTTTTTAATAGGTTTTGGATCCGACTTACTGTGAGTTGCCTGACTTGGGTTCCCAAATGGGGCCTAAGCAATGTTGCAAAAACTCCCATTAACAGTGTTTGGTTTGTTGCCTCTTCTTCCAATCCCTTTATATGGCATGGTTGAGGATTCAGCCTTTGTGGCCTCATGTTAAGATCATGTATACTGTGAAGCTATGCCAGAGGCCACAAGGTGTCTGAGGGCGGAAGGTTAAATGGGACAGTAGTGAAGTTATTAACAACACCGCCGTTACGCCGCTAGTTCCCAGAGATCGAGAGTAGGGAAGTAAGAGAGCCAGAAGTAGCCAAGTTGGAGCGGCGGTATCGCCAACGATGAGAAGCGGACCAAAGGACTTGTAAGTCCTGAGGATAGAGTAGAGTGTACTTCAAGGCAATGAGCCTGAAGACTAGAGAGAGAGGCAAGAGATCAGAGGTAGTCTCAAGTCAAGGACATTGAGAGGATAATCTAAGTTAATAATTAAACTGAGGAACTACGATACAGTACAGGAGTATTTATATCTACGGATCAGAGCAGAGCGCCAGACTAACTACTAGGAGCTATACGAGTAGTACCTGCAGGGTAAAGTAAAAGACAATAAGGAGAGACTAGAATGAAAGAGTATGTGTAGCGAGAAAGAACAATAAGAGTGAGATTACAATAAAGGTAGATCTTCGGAATACTGAGCGGCAAAATGGAGCCCCAAGGCATGGATTTGACAGTAGCGAGAAAGAACAATAAGAACAAGATTACAATAAATGATGGATCTCGGAGTACCAAGCAGTGGAGTAGGGCACCAAAGCATGGACTTGACATCTCAGAGATGAATGCAGAAGCAGTGGCCTGTAAATGATGCAAAGAGTGCCCTATTGTGGGCAAGTACCACTTTGTCAAACCAGCTCAGAATGGAACAAGTCAATGGGTCTGCCAGTTGCTTTCAGCACTATTTGAACAAGAAGAAAGAATAGACCATGTGTTAAGATTCCTTCAAAAGTTCCATAGCTTCAGTATCAGTAATGTTCAGCCTCCAGAACTGCTCAATGACATCCTTGAGCTTGTCCTTGGGTGCTGCAATAGTGGTGATGAGCATCTTAAAACATTTATCTTGGAAAATATGCAATCATTTGAATTCTTCTTTGATATTGTAATTCATGTGGATGAAGTGGAATGTTGAAGTTCTATGCACACAACAATGTACTATCTATCTATCTATCTATCTATCTATAACAAATGATATTTTTGTATGTCATCAAGCGTATGGTTAATGCCAACTATTCAAATGCCGAACCGGTCGGATCAACTAACATATCGGCACGGCACGCCGAGGTTTGATAAGCGAGGCAACTGACTCTCGATTGCGGTAAATACCAAATACTCACAGCCGAGCCAAACATATAGTGATAATAAGGCGATTACATACCGCAAATGGGAAGTCGGTCGCTTTTTGTATTTCTTACTGGTTGCTACCATAACAGACAGTTCACATAACGACGCACTTCTGGTCAGGATTGAAGCCCATCTCCCGTAAATGTTCTTCTGTAGCCTCCTTCTCACTCGCCTTGAGTTTCTCATGAGCCTCCTCCGAGAACCAGTCTTCCATAAAGTTCATGAGACCCCAATCAACATTCGCTGAAGATAAAGAATACATCGTGAAACGAATCAGGAATGAGTAAATATACGAAGTAGGAAAACTCACATCGATCTGCTATCAAAACCGTCGGCGCTCTGCACATTGGACAATCTCCCTGACCTCTTTTCTGCATCTTTACCAAACAACGTACGCAGAACAGATGCCCACAACTAAGCCGTATGGGTTTGAAGGCGAGATTGGTGCAAATGATACAAGCGTAGTCGTCAACATGTGGTATGATCGGAAGGAGGGTTTCGCCTAGAGCTTGGACGAGTAATCGTGGGAGGGAGTTTATTGAAGAGTTGGCTTTTGAACGAGGGATGAGTGCCAGTTCTCGCGCGTAATAGTCTTGGCCGGGAGGAATAGGAAGTGCGGTTCGTTTGGCGTGCTTCTTGAGGATTTTTCGGGTGGCTTCGGCGTTGGCTTGTTCGAGCTATAGGCACGAGGAAGATATTTAGTAGCTAAATATCGAAGCAAGTCGAAACGAAAGTAATTCACCTTCTTTACGTTCAAAATGAACATGTTCATTTGTAGGAACGACTCAAGAGCCTCATGACTCTGCTTCAATTTGAGTTTCCGTTTGTCACCGAGTCCTCTAGAAGTGACTCGTTCTGCGAATAGCTTTAACCGCCTTTCACTCTCCTCGATTGATAGCGCGCCTGCATTTGCTTCGTTTGAACTTTCGAACACCTCGGTCTCAACGTACAGTTGAAAAATCTCCCGCCAAGAATAGAGATCACTCTACATTGATAGCCAATTAATGTTGGCAATGTCAACATCCGAAAAGAGATCGTCAAGCGTACCTTGTTAGTTCTGGAAGGAAAGCTGATGGTCCCGGGATTCGATAGCACAGAATGTGGGTGAAAACTGTTGTTACGAGACGATATCGGCCTGGCAGAGTCACCGACCTTTCTCGAAACTGTTTCCAATGTGTCTGCGAAATCCGTGTACAAAGTAGACATGCGATCGGAAAGATTGTGAAGCGCCGTTGACAAAAGTTCGAAGAACGCTGAGTCCTTCACCAACGGAATGACAACCTCCCGTGAAGTCCCTTGGCTCTGTGAACCAATTGTTGGATGTTTCACAGGCAACGGTTCGTCACTGTGGAATTCATGAGAAAAAATAGTCAAGTACAAGGATGAGACGTTACGCACTCTGTAACCTCTGATATTTGGGAAGAATCCTCTTCCCAACCCTGGATCGTAGAGTTCCTCTGCAAAGCCCACAATAGACTTATGTTCCTTCCTGAGATATCGTCCGAGTACTCCTCTGGCGTTTCCGACTCTCGCTCATTTCCTGCATCTGTATTAGCCTCCAGGTCCAACGGAGCATCCGAGGAAGCTTGAGACCACGGTGAAGGAGAATCTATCCAGATTCTCAGTTGCGGCTCGATCCTCCCGGACTTGCTGTTGAATTCATAGACGACTTTCGGATGAACGGCGGTGTCGAAAACGTGCTCTGATGTTTCCTTCTGCTTTCCTTTCAAATTGACTTTGTTTTCATCTTCCAAGAGCTTTTGTAGGATATCAGGATGAAGACCTAAAGCGTTGAGCTCCAGGACAACTTGATTAATAAGTTTCTTGAGCTAGGATTCCATGGTAAACCATATGACTACTGATAACGAAAGAGTAATAACTTGCTTCGCGGTATTGAATGGCATTCTCTCTGAGTTCTGGTGGGAGATCAAGAAGAAGTCTGGCGTAAGTTTTGGAGAAATGCATTTTGGAATTAGAAAACAAGTTGGCCGGTCCTATATGGGGATGGTCTCCGACGCACGTTTGATTAAATATTACATCGCGATTGGCTTCAGTTCAGACTTTCAGGGAAATTTCTCTCTTGGATACCAGATTACCTCACTAAATCTTGGTGCAAGAGAAAGCCTATCCAAGCAATGGGACCATTCAATTCTCATTTTTGAATCCATCATAATTTTGCCTTTCTTTACAGTCATCTACAGTGCTTACAGATTCTCGCCTCTAAATCTACCTACGTTCCCCTACGTTCCCCCTGTAATTGGGCTGAAAACGAGAGTATAAAGGGAGCCCGGCTTCACAGATTCCAACCTCCAGGCGGTTTTGATTCCCAATTCCTCGAACTCTGCCAACGTTCTTTCTTTACCATTGAACAACGCCAACATCTGTATAAATACTTCATCAGTGCAGGAACCGACAAATCTAGTTTTCTCGTACGCCTAGGTCCAATGCGGTCAAGAACCCTTCGCCGGCTACACCAAGATTTTTGAGTAGCGGGTAAGGAGCTTCGGGAAGAGAGAAGTTTGCCCGTGGCGAGTCTTCGCATGTATACCGAGCCAGTGATTCAAAAACGATCAACTTAGAATTCAGGCCCGCCGCGTCTCGTATATTCGAGAGAATTTCGCAGGCCTCTTCGTCGGGCCAATCATGAAGAATGTTTCGAAGGAAGTATACGGCAGCGTTCTTAACTGGTTGCGGTTCGAAAAAATTGTGCGCTACCGTACGACCATATATGTAAGTCATTCCTTGGACCTCCAATTCTCAAAATATACCTTGTAATTTGACTTGGCCACTTTCAAAAGCTTCTGGACTGTGTTCTCTCCAGTACTGACAAGAGGAAACAAAGTGAAGAGGACGAAAGAGAACTCAAATGAAAGGCGTACGTCTTCACTCGCAGTGATTGTCTTGTCGATGTCTTGGACAACATAGTTAAGTTTTGGGAACGCTTTCTTCAACACGAGTGTCACTGTCCCTAAGCTGCCTCCGACGTCAACTACTACGTCGTCCGCTTTTAGCGCATCTCCGTGGATCCCTACACTTCATCTCCATACAGCAATGTATAATTGCAAAGTCATTACGCACCATTTGTGAATATATACGAGGGGTATGCGTTCGCTTTCATTCCAACCGTGAAACGTCGCAGCCTTGCCTCATTATTCGGCTCCTCGTACCAGTCCCACAGCTTCTTAGGCGTTTTGCATCCCATGTTGAGCGCGGCTGGGGCTTGTCCAGGGTTTCTTAGCCATGCCGACAAGTGTACTGAGCTTGCCAATAGCTCATCGGACCTGTAGATTCAAAAGGTGAACCACATTCAAAACGAACGTAAGGAGTTCATTTTACGCCATGTGAAGGAAAGCAGTGAATGGGGAATTGTCAAATCTCCCCAGTGGGCTATCAGTATGCATTGAAGTCATAGTAAGGTGTGATTTCTATTTTCCGATGTCGTCAACTACTTACTCTTCCTTTATCTCTTTCACGGATTTGCCTTTCGACAGTAGGGTGGAATTTCGGTTATGTGCGAACACATTGGGTTCTACCTCACGAAAGATATGGCGCGTTGCCAAATAGCGTAGCACCCGTGCTGAAGCAGGAATCTAGTCAGTAGCGAATATAGTCAGAGCGAGGCGTGCTGGAATCATACCAAGGTGAGAATCATCTACACCTGTCGCAATAGCAAGGTCTTTAACATGAAGTCCCTGTTGTGTAGGAACTTCAAATTAGCACGGATCTCTTACAAGAGATCCTTCTCACCATCGGACCTGCCTCCATCAAGATTTCCGGTACGTCCACATCAATGACAAACCCCAATGTCGCCGACTTGAACATCGCTGGCGCTGCATCCTGCAAAAACTCACCCGGAGGTTGAACAGTTGCGATAAGCTGCGCGGCTGCAGCGACAATCAACTGTCGCATTCGGATAATGGTTGGGTCGACGTCAAAATCTGTATTTTTCATCGAAGATGTGGTGGACGTTTCATTAATCGAAGGAAATTTCACCTCATGCGTGGCGTATGCAGACAAGAGGGCAGTGGTTTCAGTGGAGATAATTTCCACCAAGGCTTTCAGAGCTTCGGCCATTGTCAAATGGGAAAGGTGGCAACAGTCTAAGAGAGGTTGGACGAAAACCTTGTCCTGATAATGAGGCTTATATATATTGCATATATATCAGTAGATATCAGTAGGCGTGTTGCGGCGTGGTGTGGGTGTTTCTTTTGAGATTCGGACTCGACACAGAACCTCCGTGACCGCGCGCGACAGTGCTCACAAGAAACTCCAATTCACTTGTCAGTACGGACTTGTCGTGCAAGGACTGAGTACTGATGCCTGGCTTCTCAATCATATTTTCCACGCGAACTCAACTTTGCGAAAGTCGCAAGCTGTTCAGCCGCGTGTATCGAACACCACTTGTTCATCCTAGCACCTCCATCCAACACCGATAACCTAGCGATAGTCCAACGATAATCCAACATATGGTTCTTTATTGCTCCGATGACCTTGGTTTCACGTCACAGCCGAATTCATCGCTCGAATTCTCCAACGAATGTAAAGTACATAGAATATATTGTATGTTACGCAGAGAAATAGAATAATTCGTACTAAGGAAATTTGTTATAGAATTTAAAGGTGGGAGTTGGTACACAGGAAGTATCAGACGGATAGAATATATAGATACACATGAAGTCCAGCTGGGGGATGGATGTTCGAGACTTCTAAACCGAGCGGAGAAGGGACATTGGCCGACTGAACAAAAGACGGCAAAAGTGATAATTCGAAGGTAAGTGATATGAATGGCCATGAGGGAAAAGCGCTAGTGTTGAGCATCGAGAAAGTCGTACATGAAAGGGGGGGGATAAGAAAACCTGATCAGAAATATTCAGCATGTCATTGAATAATACGTATATCGAGTTATGACTTACAATGAACGGGGAAAGTGCCTGTGCATCCTTATCCAAGCCTTGCTTGCTTCCTCGCGATCGGACTCGGAGATATTTCTCTATCCCCAGGCAGAGTTGCGGCGGATGACCGAGTTCTCCTACTAGTAGGAATCGTCCCAGTGACAGGCTTATCCTCAGCATCTACTTTACTCCTGTCTCGCTTTTTTGATGCAGGTTTGGTGGTCTTTCCAGGACTTCCGTGACCAGGATCCACCGCTGTGAAACGATTCACAGTTGAGATCCACGAGGATTTTGTGGAGAGAGGTTTTCCTAAAGCCGGAACGTGCGGGCTGGCGGGAGCGCCCGGTGTACTAAGTTTCGGTGACTTGTTGGGTATTTCGGGACTAGGAACTGTCGACGTGGAATCTAAAGTTGCAGCAGTAGCCAAAGAATGCTCTGCATCCGGAATGGTAGAAATGCTCCGCGTGCTCTCATGCCTTGATATACTACGCGAGCCAGATGGCTCTGTCAGGTCTTGCGAGGTAGGAGGGCCATCATCAGGCAAACCGCGTTCTGTGACCGGCGGGCTCATCAGAGCCTCAGAGCCTCTGGTGATAGATCTTGTTGTGTGATCGCTGACCGGAATCGGTTGTCCACCTTCAGCAACTTTTACGACAACTGTCTCTGGGGCATCGCCAGGACTGTGAGGCGTATCCCGTTGGATTCTGTGATACCCGGCCTGTATTATGCCGTGAAACCTACAGGCACATGATTGAGGCACGAAGAGGAATTGCACACAACTTACTCTTCCTTCTTGGTAAAGACACGCAATAACACTTCAGCAAAAACGAACGGACGTAAGCTCGAATAATCCCCATCGAGCGCTTTGTGACATCCTGGTTAACAAGGATATCAGACACGAATGGAACTGATAGTTGATACTAACTGCCTGTTTTGGAATAGAACTTCACATAATCAAGAGGGTTCTCCTCCTTCATGCCATAGTGAAGCATAGATTGCTCAACCTTGATGTCATTGATAGTCAGATCATCGAGGGTGAGCCCTGCTTCTTTCCAAGCCTCATCCATTTCATCTTGTTGCTCCTTAGGAAGTTCGTAGTAAGCGTCTCGAGCACACTCCAGGATACGTTGCTCTGTGACGAGCTGCTTGTACGCATCCCGGTCTTCCCAGGAGACCCACTTCATATCAACAAATCTATAAAGCTTGCGATTGGTAATCCGTTTGAATATATCCTGCGCAGGTTTGAGGTTCTACACAAGGTTGGGAACTGTTGCTCATGAAAGAACAAGAGAACATACTGGATCCTTAGACCTCTCAATCTCAGGAAGTAGGTCATCCGTTAGCCATAGGAACTCTTCTGGATCCCTGATCCGTTGAGCAATATGCATGAATGGCTCAGCAAGCTTAAGACCATCCACAATCATGTACTCAATGGCCTTCGCTGTCATGGTTCAGCAGAGATCAATACTGAGTCCTGCAGAATTGAGGGGTGGGGGGCACACACCCGTTTTGTGGTTGTAGAAGTTTTTGTGTAGTTTGTGTCGCGTCTGGAAAACCTCAAGGACCTTGTCAAGGTCTTTATATGCATAACAGATCTGATCTTGTATAACTCTCGCCGACTCGATGAGACTAGAAAAGAACAGGCGAACAGAAACTGAGTATATGTAGCAATTGAATATCATTAGACCCACCGGGTGACTTGAAGTTTGATGGGATCCCCAATGGCTAGCGAGTCACGCTGGATGTAATCAAATCTAGCGTAAACGAGTTACTTGCTAGGATGGATGAATTGAGGTGTTTGGACATACTTGTCAACGTCGAAACCGTTCAGTTTGTTGGCAACAATATCAAAAAGAAACCGCTTTTCCTTCCTGGACAACCGTCAATACATAAAGAATGGGATTGGAGAGCTCTATACACACCGCTTGCATCTACTAGGATCGCCTGCAATGAGAGCTTTGATGAACGTGACGTCGTCTGTCCGGATGTCGATTCCTTGTTCTTTGATTAGATAGTCAAGCATCATTTCAGATCCTTCTTCATGTGTCCAATGCTCGTCGGGCCTAACAAAGGTTGAGAAATAGGGGGCATGAAGATAAAGAGCATGGAGATTTACAAGATTGCCGGAATGAACATCCCATCCCAGACATGAGACCAAGGGCCATGCCCAAGGTCATGACAGAGACCTGCAAGGGTCACGCATTCAATATCCCGCTCTGTGATGTTGAGCACTGGCTGGTTATCTTGAAGATGGGTCACCATTGTTCTAGCGAGATGGGCAACACCTACAGTGCCGTTGATGAGCTGTCATACATAGCACAGAAGTTCGGATACGTACCGATACAATGCTCGAAACGATTGTGTGAAGCCCCCGCCCACACGTAATATGTTGTTCCAAGTTGCTTTATCCTTCTCAATCGCTGAAACGGGGCCCTGTTGTATATCAGCTCACTCTCTTTACAAACAGTTTGGAAAGCATACGAATCTATAAACTGCGCCATCCTAGGTGTTATGAGAACTGCGCATACACGTTTGAGCAGGCATCCAAAATTATTACTTCAAAATTTACTCTGGTCATGGACGGGGTCTTTAATATAGCGACGATGAGGAGTGGGTTCTATTTCCGAGTCCATTGCGTTGAAAGATTTAGTCTATACTCGGAGAGGAGGTATAGGTGAAGAAAGTGAAGAAACGAAGAACAAGATAATAGCCACGCGAGCTGATGTCACCAGCAATCCGTCACATCACCTGGTCGTTCCTTCAATAGGTAAGAATTTAAATAAAGGTAAGAAGTTAAGATTGGAACCTCGACGTAGCTCAATTCAGTGGAATGCATGTAATAATGAATCTTTGACTGAGTAGGATGAAATACAGTCAATTCTGTTGTACATTTTGGCCTACGAGATACAGTCTAAATAGTAAATAGCCGTCTCTACAAGACCTTGAAATCAACTTTCACTAGATCTACTCTAGTATCTCTTACAGCCTCCATCGCATCGGGTCATGAAAGCCCGGAATCAGCAACAGGTATGCGATTTCCCCGGTGCCTCTGCCTTCGAAAAACAGACTGAGCAATCGCCATGGACCGCCGAATTTCGGCTTCGGTTTCGAGCTCTACAGAAGTTGCAGCCTGCTCGGATGCACTGGCGGCGGTATGAGTAGGAGTCGACAGAGCACGAGATCTCAGGCCCGGCTGTCCTGGTGCGGAAGACAGCCTTGAGTATAACGATTCACGTCTTTGCCTTGACAGAGACAGGGAACTGACACGGGTACGATCGACGCTTGACCCTTCGTCTTCTAGCCGTTGGTTCTGAGCCTGCTCCCTGAGACGGTTTCTCCTGCGCTCTATCTCTAAAGCTACCTCTCTATTCTCTTCCCGCAACGAATTTATGAATGCTTGCCGAGCTGCATGATCAGAAAGTCGACGAGACGTATCTCTGCGGTTGCTGGATAGAGAAGATTCCCGAGAACGGCGGTTGACGGCAGGGGCAAACCGCATGGGCACCTCAATAAATTCTTCGTCACTTTCCGGCTCATTTTGAAGTTCTGCTAGCCCGCTTTCACTGAGAGGGGATAAAGGTGTGCCAGAGGAGTATCCCGCCGAGGGAATCACAACAGATGGATTCCCCGAGGAGGTGGAAGATTCCCGTGCAACAGGCAGAGTTCCTCCTCGTTGTGTTTGTCTCTGGGTTGCTATTGCCTCGCGAGCTCTTCTAATAGAATCAAGTGCCTCAATCCTACGGCGCCGCACCATGACATCCAACAACTCCCTACGACGCTCCGCAACGAGTTCTGCGAGCGAGTTAAGACGCTCGACCGAACTCGCGGCAGTCCAGTCAAAAGACGACAGGGTGGTATCCGGCTCAGTCATGACTGGTGCATCCGCGATTGGCACTTCCAATTCCGCGCCATAAAAGAACGCGTCAGAGTCGGGATCAAAAATATTTGTAGAGCTCCACTTTCCAGGAGTTTTTGTAGGTATTTCGGTGGAACGGGGATTATACACAGTAGACCAAAGTGGGCGACCCATTCGAGATAAGTTTTGAATGGATATTTTTTTGACTTCAATAAAGTGAGGCACAGAGGGGAGCGTGCTATGCCGTTGGTCGTGCGGGCGGTCCAGAAAGTAGATTCTGGGTGCAAGGCGGAGGGAGACGGTAATGGGCAGAAGATAAAGCAAGAAGTGACAAAAAGCAATCAACAAACAGTTACCGGCGGTAACTCACGTGGTGTGGGCGTCTATGTTACTTCTTCCCAAATTAGGCTTTTTGCTGATCAGAAATTAGAATGAGCACTCGACAAATCTAGCAGCCGACTCGAGCTAGTGTTTGCCTTCTTCCAGCACCATGATGATGAAGGTTATCTCAAATTTGCACGCACTGGAGAGGACTATCAATTGTCCCAGATATCTCCTATCACACTCATCCTTGTATGTTTCGCCTCTTCCCTACTTTTCCGTCTAGACTCAAGCAGGTAGTACCAACAGAAAATGTCCAACTGTAGCATTATGTCTTTTATTTCCATAACAGGCTTTTCTTCTGACATCCGCATCGATTGTCTCCGCCAAAATTTCCTTTTTGTTAAGCGGTTGCCATTTGGGCGTCGAGCTTTGACCACTGCTATGGTGCTGTGTCGATACTTTGACCCGCTAGGACCCTCCAATTGCCTTTCAAGGAAATTTTTCAGTGTTCCCTAACATTATCCGAAAGTCCACTGGCGGCGCGATCCTAATAAGGAAAAAACCGACTATCAAGGTCTGTCGTTCGCACACCAATCGACCTACTTTGCAAAGTGGATATATAAGGCCGCCTCAAATAAAACATGTCCGCCATCAAGTAGTATTTGGAGTCGTCTTCCCGCCCTGTCTACTATATTCTCGTTATTCTCCACCTCCACCTACCTACCTTCAAGTTCAAATCCAGAACCTCTTCCCTGTTGCTGCTCAAGATGCCACGCGTCACTTCTTTTGTAAGTTTCGCGAGCCTCTGTGTTGTTCTCATTATGCTGACATCAACATGACAGAAATTCATTGACGAATCTGCTCGCGAATGCAGGGAGTGTAATCTGGTGTTCGATTATCCCTATCAGATGCGCAAACATATGCAGACTCACGGACATGCTGACGCGTCCCAAGCGTAAGTTCCAGTTAATCCATAGGTTCAAATATTTGGTATTAACGTAACGTCCCACAGAAAATTCCGTTGCACATGGAGTGGTTGCGCATACTCGAGTTCACAGAGATCAAATTTCAACACGCACTACCGTACTCAGTAAGTCTCTTTGGTGTACACAATTCACTCTCAAGCTAACACCTACCAATCATAGCACCCAAGAGAAATCTAAAACTTGCCCCGACTGCAGTTTCAGGACCGGTGATCCCTCGTCACTCACTCGCCACCGAAAGAGGATCCACAACTACATCCCGAACCCAAGAAAGGCTCGAAGATCTTCCTTCTTCGATAAATCTCTTTCCCCTGCATCCATTACCCCAACTTTTCAATCCACCGTGGATTTTGCTTCCGTCCCCACATCGTTCTCTGGGAGTCCTTCGACCTCTGATTCTAGCGCGACCCCCTCAGACTTTTCGCCGTTGTCTTTGGATTTCGGGATGGACCCGTCCTTCGACGCCACTGGCTTGGACTATTCCTGTAATCAAGCCGCCGACACGCTCCCTCTTAGCTTAGGCGACCTCTTCAACCAGCCTCCCGCCTTCCAGCGCTTTGACGACTTCGGACTCACCGACTGTCCGCGACCACTATTCCCTGCTGTGGACAGTACAGCATCATTGGAGCGATCCAGAAACAACAACCTCCAGTCTCGTTCCGAGTCCTGGTCTGATCTGTCTTTGTTGTTTGGGAACAATACTACGCCTTCGCTCAAAGGAATTGGCTCGTCAGACATGACTCACACATCCGAGTTTTCTTTCTTTGCAAGCCCATATGACAATACATGGCAGACCAATGCTGGTGTTTCCAACTTTCAAAGTTATAACCAATGTCCCGAGGTCCCTGTTCAACACCTTCAGCCTGAGCATATGTCATACGAATCATGCGCTGGCATGGATTATATGACAGGCTTGGATCCTTCGACGTCTGTGGTTATCTCGCCAGAAGACTTGGAAGTCATTTTCGGCTCCAATACCCACCACGATCAGCATGTCGAGCACGACGCAGGGTTTCCTGAGGTTTCCCCGTGTTTCAACCTCCCCTCGTACGATTCTCCTGACATTAGTCAAAATCAAACTTTACCTTTTGAATCTTTGGAGTCTTTACCTTTCGAGTCTATTGACACTCAGACCTTACCTCTCGAGTTTTTTGAGCCATTCCCTTCAACTTCATTTCCTTCATTATCTTCATCATCCACGGATCCACTGTTCGATCTCGACCAGTTCGCTGCTTCTCTCGCATGCTAAGGACTTTGCATAACTCATCTGTTCATTTATTAAATCAAGGACTTCTACATACTATGACATTCACTTCGAGAATCACACTGTATATCTACCTTCTATGGCACCCAAGGATTTCGCTTCATTGTATCTTTATTCTGTATCTATACTACTTACATGTGTCTACCGGGTTTAACCTGCTCTCCTACCTCATACTCATATGCATGTTCGGATTTGTAGTTCTATCATATGCATTTTTTCTCCTCGCAAGTACGACTCGGTCGTTCATTTCATTTATGATGAGGTTGATCATGACGTGGAGAACTTTACGAGCTGCCGCCTTTGTCGGGCGAGTTGCCTGCATGGATGGATCAGATTGTATCTGTCCGAGCCCCGGGACAGATGCATATCGACGGGTCAGGATATGTACCTACTTACCCTGCTACGTTGTGATGCATTGAACTTACTACGTAGTCTCTGATGTCCGGCGGCTGTCTAAATCAGGATGAAGAGATTGGGAAATTGGCTCATCCGACACTCTTCCGACCAGCGTCCGACTACAGGACGACTCAGGACCCTCGATAAATTCTGACTCGAGACTCGAGAGTCTAACCCATACACGACCATGGTTGTGATCAGGACCTACTTCCTCCCTGTGAGCCCATTGAATGTACTCTCCTGTTCTGAATCCTTGGACATCACTGTGCACTCCAACTCGGAGGCCGGGGGCAGGGAGAGGCATGGAGTCTGAAGCGCTAGCGACGCACCTATGATCAAGAGGACAGAGATAAAAATGCAGAGATGCTCATGCCGAAGCTACTATCTGTTACTACCTTACCATGTAGATAGCTCGTAGATGCCTCCCTGATGCCTCCTAATGCCTCCATGATGCCTCCTGATACCTCCCAAATACCTTTGCGAACATCTTCGCGTTTGGGACGTGTCTTTAGAGGGACCCGGAAGGTTGGACATCTTTGGGTGGTGGAGCAAAACTACGCGACGCTGTCTAGCGCAAACTTACCGTCGCATATTGGCTTATGTTGGTCGCATGTTGAAATTAAGAGATTTTCCTGGGTTAATTTTAGAATGGGTCGATAGGTAATTATTGTGGGACAGGGGTCCTTTCTGAGTTGTAACAAGACTCTTGAAGCGTGAAATGTTATCAAGTCATGAATTCGTAAGGGGACATTTGAGAAAGGGAATGCTCAAGTGGAGGGAGAAAGAGGGAGGATTGGCGGTAAAACTTAAAGCAACATTGGATGACTTCCCGTAGGAATTATTTGCAGGACACCAGACAATTAATTTGTGCCACCAATATAAGCGAACCTAAGCGAAGATGGCCGGACAGCGGCTTCGCAAAAACTGCATCAAAACCAACTTACAACGGCCTCCCTACAGGACCCCTGTTTATGGTAGGAGAGGTTAGTTCTTAGACCTTCCGAAATGAACAGGTTTTGACCGAAAGTTTTTTCTATCAGATGCCCAAAATTTGACCGAATTTTGGGAGTGACCTCGCGCCGGAGCCCAAATTTGACCGAAAATTTGTTACAGACCTATGTAGAATGTAGAATTTTTCATTTGAGCGTATCTTTGCGCTTAAGAATGTAGAAACACGAAGAACATGTAAATAAGATGCCTAAAAACCCAAATCATCATCCTCTTCCATCGCTTCCAATGCAAATGCAGATTCCTTCAGGTTCTGCGTTGTGGTCTGATTTCTGGTGGCTGTACTTGTTTTTGACCGCTTCGCATGCGCTACCAGAACCTCGCTGAGTTTATGAAAGTAGTGGGTGAGGTGTTGATGCATGATAACATCAGCATTGGATTTGAGATATACCGTTTGGCCAGATTGTTCTGTGACCAATTGAGGGAGAGCCTTGGTGATAGCAAAGAAGTTTGTAGACGGAATGAATGTATATGAGAGAGTAGGATACGGACGAGTTTGGGATGTGATCGCATGGAATTTTGCATCATAGCAATGTTCAAAGAGCTGTAACCCGATATAAGAAACTGCCGCTATATTATCGGCCTTCATCACTGCAGCATGTTTACCGTTCTTTCCTCCACCTTTTGAATATAAAGCCTCAACTTTTAACAATATGAGAAACAATTTTGGGATTGAGTCAATGACATACCTTTTCCAAGGAATAGCTTATAGGCATGCCGCTTATCTTTCTGCATACGAGCAAAGACAAATCCCCAAGAACCAACCAAAAGCGGGGATTTCTTTGAGATTCCTGCTTCAGAAGGGATTTCAAGGGGTTTGATCCCTCCTTCTAACAGAAGCCGGCGACGCTTTGCTAACGCCTAGTAAAGCCCCGAAGTTAGCCTACAAACACAAAAATCCCCACAGGACACACCTGATTCGCATTTCCGGCCGCCATATTCTGAGCATTCAAACTATTCCCTGTGGAATCTGTTTGTCTTTTGGTCCATCGTAAGAGACGTTCACTAGCAGTGGTAATGCCTCGGTCTTGGGACAAACGATTAGTATCATGAAAGACCGCAAGCATGCGACGACGTAGTGACATATCTGTGTCACATTCATCTGAATTAGACAAATGTACACCTCGTACTCGAACAGCCTTTGAGGCGTGTTCAGTTTGATGTTGCTCCCTCAATGAAACAAGGTTGCGTAGGAGGATAGCATGGTCATTGCTGTTAGTGAATGCAATTGGTGTTGGTGTATCGATTTCAAGAGCAGGAAGGTTGCGAATGAGTTTCCGAAAGGTCTGAACATGGTGCAGATCATTCGCGATACACCCATCCTCTTCCTCCTCGTTGATTTCCTCGAGTGCATTGCTAAGCTCAATGTCAGTTTAAAGATCATAGAAAAGATACATAATTACGCACATTCTCTGCTGGTCCTCAACAGAGAGTAAAAGCACCGCATTGCACAATGCATCATACCGGTCATGTTCACTAGAGGTCTGTTGCTTCACTGCCTCATCATCAAGTACAATCCGAACGTAATCCTGCAGCAACTCAATGGAATGAACTGAAGACTCGTCATCACTGAAGGACTGATTATCATCTTCGCTATCCTCAAACCCGAAGACTTTGTCTGAGGCCCACAACTGAAGAGAAGGGAGGATTGAGGGAGTACCAAAGAGCTCAAGTGGAGAGATACCGAGAGCAACCATGAGAGAGTCCGCTTCACTGCCAGCCCGCTTTGCAATGTTTTGCATATCTTCCTTGGTGGGGTAGTGAGAAAGTGCAGTAATATCGAGCTTCTTCGTGTCGAAGTAGGTATGGTGATAGCCAGCCGCACGCGCCTTCACATCTGGTGATGGTTGTTCGGAGTTGGACCTCAAGAGAAAACTTTCTCGAATACGAAGCATAAGCTTTGGAACCATATGATAAAAGTCATACATTGTAAAATCTTTGACAATTTGGCGGCAGATTCCAAAGACGTGCTCGCAGGGTTCTGTTGAATGGAGGTAGGGAAGTAGTGGGATTTTTGGATAATGGTCACGGTGAACAACGACCAAGCCAATCAGTCCATTGACTAGATACGAGACAATGTCCAGGCTTTCACGCGATATGCAGTATTGAGACCGTAGATAGCCTGGACAACTGTCTAGATATATGGTCCACATATTCACGAAGTAACGTGCGCGGAGAAGCATGTTCAGTCTCTCTTCATGCGGAATATGTCTATTTTGGTAAGCGTCAGGGATTTCCATGAAGACAAAAAGGTAGATGATGAGTCCGAGCATCTCAGGATGACGGTCAACCAAGAATTGCAATGTTTGTGCAGACCCAAGCCGAGCAGCAGCATTGTCGTCCTGTCTATCTAGCTTCTCGACATCCCTATGGTATAGTGGAGAGCCTGGCTCGAATGCCATCGCGCGGACATCTCGATACATAGCCAGGAAGTTTCCCAAAACAAGTAAACGAGCACCAGAAAAGAGATTATTACGAAACGTCTTGAGGGCATGTTTCGAATCCTGAATTAATACAATTGGTTGTCCACGGAAGACAGGAATTCGCACAACAAGAGGTGGTTGACCAGGATGAGGATCAGGAATAGTCTCTTCGATGACCGTTTCTGCAATGTCTATAAAGGATTGCTGAACATTCCGTTCGTTTTCGGTACCATCACATGCATAGGATATGATCTTCACTTGATGATCGAGTAGACCAAAGAGAACAGTCTTGTGAAGCTCAAACAGCTTTGCTACGGACATTGACTCAGGAATTGGGATTGCTGCGATGATGAATGGTGGCATGTCTGGCAATGGGATAGTACCAGTCCATAGGCGAACCTACGCAACAGATATTGAGCAAAGTAGACCGGGTAATGGGTGACAAGGCTCACCTTAGTACCTTTCTGAACATCTGGATTACCCATGACTTCTTCGATGTCTTTAGGTTCAGGAACTAGAATTGGTCCATCAATACCTCCAACCAGAAAGTGGGCTTTCTTCTTAGCATCGTAGTGAAGACGTAGACCAGCAAGTAATTTGCTATCATCGCAAGCTACATTAATCGGCCCGGAATAACCTCTTGCTTGAAGATGCTCTTGGATAGCTGTGAATGTGTCTTCACTGATAGTCATGGGCAATGTCGGTCCCTTTGACTCGCGGAATCTGAAATAGGCTGTCAGCGTGGATCCACTTGAAACTAGGACTCAATCTTACTGGAAGCTGCGTTTAGTTCTGCCAGGGAAATGACTACGAATGAAGGCATATGTCTTTGGACTATGGATGCTCGCAATGTGCATAAATTGGTCCCACTCCGGGTTGTACTGAAAGTTTTGCATACCTACCCCACGTTCATCCTTGTCTTGCTTCTGCACCATCGCATGTAATAGTCCCAAAAACACGCCATAGTCATCGTACTTTCCAGCGATCGCACCCTGTGCAAAGCGGGTATAGATTGAACTGTCATCCTGATAGTGGTTTTTAACACAAAGACTTCGAGGAGTTGATAGCCAAACGTACCACTGATTCTACAAGCTCCTTCAGTCCATTCGATGCTGCCCACTGGTGAGCGAGAAGCTTGTTCTGATACTTCTTGGGGATATATTTCAAGTTTTTTGTGTCAGGAGCTTTCGACCTCAAGGCTTTCAGAAATTTGGATGATCTAGAAACCTTATGACATTCGTCGCAAGGGAGAACACGTCCAGTTTCAGTGACAAAAACTGAGATACCAAGGCATGAGCTTGAACGACAACTCAAACGGCGATGGTTATTGATCCATGTATTCTCACTATCCTGCCTGTCAAGAACTTGTGCTTTCTGCGACGCAGTGAGAAGAATGAAAGGTTTATGGAAGAGCTCTAAAGCAATCTTGGTCACTGAGTGTGAACCGCCCCCAAGAGCAGAAGAACGCCGAAGGTACGTCAATACACTAGGATTATCGGCCTCAGTAATAGCAGGACAAGGAAGCGGAGTGGGATTAACAGGAGGAGAAGTGGACGACTGTTCAGGCTGATGATTGGCTTTGGAAATTCCAAGGATACAGGATACGTTGGTGGAAAGCTTTTGAAAGCCTTGAAAAGCACCACTGATCAGCGTGCTTGTATTTTTGACGTGAGCCTGAGTTTTAGGAAGGTGGATGTAACCCGCTACACACTTCCGATAGTGGTCTTTGAAACGTCTGGGATTGGGAGCACCCTTGGCGCCCTGACATATTGTCTCGCGGCCACAGTTAGAGCAGCGAACATTGCGAAGATGGTTCGCGTTAAACTCGGCATGCTTATCAACCATGAGGCATGACCATTTGAACTCTTTCATCTTTCCTTCATTGAATACACCCGCATCCAATTCTGCTGTGTAACGTTTTTCAGCTTGAGCCGACAGAGAATTACCGGTTGGCCCAAGAATAGATTCGAAATCATTGTCTCTATGCCTCTTTGGTGGTTGATCGGCCTCAGCTACATCGATAGTCTCGAGATCTGGGACAGGGTTTGAAGAACGACTACGCTTTTTGTGATTTTTTGAGACTTCCGAGGGCCCTGCGACTACCTCCTTCTTCTGCCGCATGAAACTAGCCCATGCCGAGTTCAATGCACCACTGGACTTCGATGGTTCGCTCTTATCGGCAGCTCTGGCCTCGGATTCATCTTTCTTCTTCCCTAGTACCTTTTCCTCTCCCATGTTGTTCAAAACAACTGCATCGGGAACCATTAAGATCGTGTCAAGTAGTTCTTCATTCGTTATCAATTCAACGTTGGACTGAGCATGGATGAGATTACTGATGTCAGGTCGTGTCCGGTTTTGGATGACTGTGGCTGGTGTATGAACGGGCGTGGGTTCTTCTGTGTCTTCGACTCGGGAAGCCGGTGCTGGCTAACAGGTGTGTCAATTCAAACTAGCCTCCTTGCAGTTATTGTTGTACTTACTGTTGTCAAATTCACAAACCATCTGACTCGATCAAGCATCCGTTCCTTTATGGTCCATAACTCATCTCCCCAGATTGCATGAGCTATCATGTTTGCTGTTCCCGGTATACAAGAAATGCCGTCTTCTTGTATCCCATGCTCTACACTTGCCTTCCCAACCCATGAAAAATTGATCTTGTATCGAAGCTTGATCCAACTGCGTATGTGTTCGGCAACAACCCTTGGAGGGGAGAAACCGGGCAAGGTATCTCCTAAAGGTCAATAGTCAGTCCGATTCCAATATGTGAATGACAAAAGCTCACCATATCCAACTGTTCTAGCTCCGAAGTCTATCTTTATCACAACTTCATGCTTCTCCCTCAGGACAGGAACCCATACTTGTAGAGTTGCGTTTCGAGCTACTGCATCTTCAATATCTTTCAAGATACGCGCGCTCATTCTGTTTCTCTTTTCCGCTACTGAAATGAAGCTGGAAAATCCGGTGCCACAGATATAGTGGTTCTGCCGCTGGACCGGGTCTCGAAACAGGCGATCTTGGAGGTACGATATCATACCTTGAGTTACTGTATCACTGAGCATGACCTGTCTCAGCAGAGGCGCGAACTCGTAGGCAGAAATAGTAACTCCGCCGTGCTTGAAACTCTGGTTCCATTTCACATTTCTGAACACGGAGTCGACCGTTGGGAAGTGATTTGCAACTGGTTTCTGCTTTATCAGCTCCTGCAAAGATCGGTACGCTTTCTCCAAACTGCTCTGTGTTTCGGCAAAGTTAACCATATCATGCCATGCAGTGAGTACCCATAGAGGTAGCCGTTCTTTCCCAGAGTTAAATCGAGGATCACGAATGGATCGAGCTCCATTCAGCCAAAGCTGACCGAAGTCGCCATACAATCTTGTTAATTCGCCAGATGTTGGTAGAGGACGACTGGTGAGGAGCTTCCACAGCTCACCCATGGTACGTGTGTCAGGTACATCATTACTGAACCAACGTTCTGAGGTAAAGGACGACAGAGCATACGAGCGGTCAGGTAGAGGAATTCGAATGTATTGCTGAAATGAAAGGGACGACGATGGATAAAATTTCTGAAATTCAATAGGTACTATCTCTTCATCGCAGCGAGCAAGGATGACACATAGAGGCAGAGTGTTTGCAGAATAGCTGATCCTTTTCCCAATCCACTTGTCACGTATAAAGAATTCATCTGGTGAGGTTTTGTCGACACCCTGTGAGGGTAGCATGGTGCTTGATAGAGGTTAGAAGTAGTGGTCAATCCGCTTCAACATGTTGGAGCAATAATTAAGGGTTGTACCAGTACAATATTTCAAACATTACAAATATCGGTCTAGTGGTGTCTATCTGTTTACTTAGTAGTTTCATGAAGGATAGATATACAAGGATATACACTACGGATTTTCAAGTTGTTTGGGGTTCAATATCCAACGTTAGAAGCCTCATCTTACCTGCTGGGCGGGACTGACTCTGACTGACTAGGATTGACTGAGCGCGACCTATCGGAGCCCATTAGTCGGTCGCACAGGGTCGCACTCATAGCTGGTGACAGATGGAAATCTGAGCCAAATCTGGATATTTGACCGAAAATAAGGTGAGGGCTCAGCCTCCGGCGGATGATTTTTGACCGAAAATTTTTCCAACATAGAGGCAAAATTGGGTTGGTTTTTGACCGATTTTAGAACCAAGGTCTCCTACCATAAACAGGGGTCCTCTCCCTACCCTGTTGTAAACTGGTTTTTGGTGTAAGCGAGGGTCCCATCAACAGTCCGTACGTCGCATCAAATACCGTTAATAGTTAACTGCAGGTTAACTGCAGAATAATTGCAGCGGGAAGTCACCCATTATCAATTGATTTGCACACGGGGTAATGTCACCGCAAATCCAAATCGATTATTCTTCTTTCTCGCTCATGTTCGTTTTACTTGTTTATCTACTGGATCTTTGCTGTTATGGAATACGTTCATTCAACATGACTGTGCTCACACCTAAATCTTGGAAAGCATTATACTCAACACCATAGCTCTTTTGACTTCTTTCAACGCGTTACAGCGGAGGTTCACGAATTCTTTTCTTTTCAAGTCGTCCGCTGTCGTCCGTCGGTGCAATTATTGAACAGCTGGGAGTTAAGCGGCCAATCAAGTTTCATCCTGCCAGGGACGATGAGGGCTTCCCTCCGAATCCGATGTATCCGATGTAGCCAGAAATCGTATAAAAGACTTTCGGACCTCCTCCTTGGATTCCCCACAGAGCTGGTCTCTTCATCGCATCTACGCAAACGCCGCATTTTCTTCAATCACATACACAACAACTACATAGATTATTCCTCTTTTCTATCAAAACTTATCAACAATGGTTCACTCTCGTTCTATGCTTACAGCTGTTATCGCTGTCGGAGCTGCTTCCACAGCTCTCGCAATCCCTTTGCCGTCTGCGGGTATCCCAGGAGGCCCTCTCACTGGTTTGGCTCCTAATACTGGTCTGCCGCCACCTCCAGCTCCTCTTATCGGAAGTGGCCCCATTGCTCGTGCCGAAACGGACACTCAGAAGCTCAGCGCTCGAGAAATCGATGTTTTCGTCGAGGGCGAGGATAAACCGGTAGGTTTTATTTTTCTCCATCTTGTCCTTCGTTTACATATTGCTGACTATTGTCGTTGTAGCGTCACCATGGCGGCGAGCATTTTGGTGTTGAACATCACCACCATCACCATCATCATCATCACCACCACCACCCTCATGGTGAGGAGGAACAGATCGAGGTGGAGGTCGAGGAGCACCACCGTCACCACCACCATCACCACCCTCATGGCGAAGAGGAAATCGAGGTTGAAGTGAAAGAGCATCGCCACGACCATCACCGTCACCACCACGGTGAGGAGGAACTCGAGATCGAGGTGAAGGAGCATGGCGAACATCGTCATCACCACCACCACCACCTCCACGGTGAGGAGGAAGTTGAGGTTGAGGTGAAAGAGCATCGTGGTCATCGTCACCACCATCACCACCACCCTCATGGTGAGAAAGAGATCGAGGTGGAAGTGAAGGAACACCACGGTCACGGTCACCACCACCACCACCCTCACAGTGAGGAGGAGGTCGAGGTGGAAGTGAAGGAGCATCTCGGTCACGGTCACCACCACCACCCTCACCCTCACGGTGACGAGGAAGTTGAAGTTGAGGTGAAGGAACATCACGGCCACCGTCATCACCACCACGGTGGGGAAGAAGAACTCGAAGTCGAGGTGAAGGAGCACCACGGTTACCCTCACCGTCATCACCATCACGAGGAGTTCGAGGAGCACCGTCGTCACCACCACCACCACCACCGCCACCCTCACGGTGAGGAGGAAGTTGAAGTCGAGGTGAAGGAGCACCACGGTCACCCTCACCGTCATCATCATCACGAGGAGTTCGAGGAGCACCGCCGTCACCGCCACCACCACCACCACCACCATCACGCTGAGAAAGAGTTCGAGGTCGAGGTCAAGGAACACCCCGGTAACCGTCATGGTGAAAAGGAAATCGAGATCGATATTGAGGAAGTTCCTCACCACCACCACCACCACCATGGTAAGAAGCACTTCGAGCATGAGCACAAGCACTTCGGGGTATGTATTATTCACTCTGCACATATGCTATATGTTCGCTATTCTGACTAACCACAAACATTTTCTTTTCGTGCAGCACCATGCCGAGCACGAGCACGAGCACGAAGTGGAAATCATTCCCGTTCCAATCCCCGTTCCCGTTCATGCTCCCGTTAACGAGCACAAGGTGAGCACGGTCTCCACACATAATAATACCCATCCTGTCGTCTATCTTTTTTCCAGAATTGTTTACTGAGCTTTTGTTTTCTTCAGTTCCAGGCGAAGAAGGAAGAAGTTACGATCGTAGTTGGCATGGAAAATGGCCCAGCAATCGGTGGTCGTCCCCTCCAACGAATGGAACGTCGCCGCGTTGATGAAGGTTCTTCGACTACTCCTGGCTCTGGTTCTGGCTCTGCTTCCGGCCCTGGTTCCGGCTCGTTAAAAACTCCCCCATCTACTGGCTCTTCTCTTACTCCTATCACGGAAGAAGTCCCATCACCTACAGCACCTGGAGTTGCTGGAGCCACGAAATCCGCCCGCCCTACGCTGCAGCGTGGTATTCCTTTCTCAACTGCTCTGCCTCTCCCTACGCAAGGGAGCTTAGGTTCCCGTTCTACCCCGTTCGGTGATTTCGGAGATGACTTGGACTAAATGTTGATACTTTCAGAGTGAAAGCAGGGGAAGCTATCATTGGCGTTGTCGGTGAGTTCACAATTTGCAGTTGTTCTTGTATCGTAATTAACTGGTCTTCAATTCTCGTTTCACAGAGTATGTGTCGCTCACTGGTGAATCTGCTATTAGTAGTATTCTGCACATGTTAGTACTACTCTGTTCACTTTGACTGAATTGAAGTTATTGGACGGCGCGATAAACTGTTTGATTAATGCGATTGAGCTCTAAATTCTGTTGGTGGACAGTGCGACTGCCATCGAGCGATGGTTTTATGAGAATCGAGATGCCTTGCTTTCTGCGCTTTCTGCCTGCTTTGGATGATCTACTGACCGCGTAGAGGAGAAACCTATGACTTGCGAATCCTGTTCATTCTTGGGAATTTGTTGTACATTCAAATCTCTGCTCTTGAGTCTTAAGTACAGTCCTACTTTTGCAAACCTGGGCAATTACGGCGCTAAGTATGAATTTGTTTAGCGCCCACAGGGCATTTAAATAAGGTGTGAAGGATTCTCAAATCATCTTCGAGAACCATCTGTCTCTTCCCCTCTGGCTATTGACATTGCTTGTGTCTCCGCCTGGAGACGCGAATGGCTTGCTTCCTAATTGGTGCTGTCAGCTTCAGCAGATCTCGTTATTCTATAAAGAGCAGTCCAGATCAAGAACCTGGATGACAAAGAAGCGAACGACGAGATTTTCTATTGCTAACTATCAAAAGCACATCGCGCTGCTGCTTGTCCAACAATGCACAAGGCTGGCGAGGCTGGACTCGATGCGGGCCTCAGGTACTCAATTTTTGGATTGCTTCACTTCCTTTGCGGAAGTTGTCATAGGCTGTCCATAGACTTATTGATTGACTGGTAAAGCTCATGTTCTAGTTCCTAACACCGATGACCTAAGTTCATGCACCTACAGGGATTCACATTCACGTTCATGAGAGAATGGAGGTGTTGAGGTCTGGGGTTTTTCTCTGTCTAGATTCTAAGCGGATGCCATGAGCAAGACATGTGCAAGCTCGGTTGGCTGCGAGCTCGTGTTCAAGGTGAGAAGTGAAAGCCAAAACTCGAACATCAGCAAAAAGTCAGGCTCACCGTGAGGCGAAACAATGCATCGTACTGCATTGTAAGGTGTGACAACATTGCGAGGCAGCAACGGCATTGCGCCGCCTCGTTCGCGAGAAATTCCTCGTGCCAGCTACAATGAAATTCGGACCTCGCAACTGATGCGAGGATATTTGAGGCTTACGAGGCACTGCGATCCCCCGGAAACTACTGTACATTACCAGGCAACATCGCGCTGAATCTCTCCGTTGGTCGTACTAGATCTCATATATAAATAACAATAATGCTATCATTGACCAATAGTAGGCAAATATACATGATATGAGAACGACAGGAGCAGCAATGCAGAAGCAGTAGCAGGCATAAGCACAATAACTAGAATACAACGTACGAGAGCCAGTAGTTTGAGAGTAACGCGACGAAGATAGGAACAGCAGAATGAATGTGGGACATCAAGATATCGTGGTGGGGGGTGTGTTCCGAGCCTTTCGAGCAGCTCGAGCCATGGCAGTGGTAGAAGTTGTATGTTCGCTTCCTTCTGTGTCTTCACGTTCCAATTTGTCTAAATCCCAGGTGTCACGACCGCCAAGCCCATCTTTATGCCCGAACACTTTTCTGAAGAGTGTATTAGAGAAGAATATGAAGATATACTGTCACGTACTCGTTCCAGTCAGCCAGAATTGAAACAACATGTTCATCCTTAGGGTAGTCTTCAAAAAAGTCGACAATTTCGTTATAGAATACAACGTAATCAAAATGATTATCTGGGATGTTCCATTTCTCGACTGAAGAAAGTGCAAAACGGGCCTTAAAGAGAGTCAATAAGCGAGGTAGCTCTCGAAAGCATCTCACCTGTATCGCTGCATATGCGATGTTTCTGCCAGTGACTTTCTTCATCCCATTACGAGCAGCTATAGAGTTTTTTTGATAAGTGCCGGTTTGAGCTGAACTAATTCCAAAGAAGATAGCGAAGAAAACCTGTTGAGAGTACGATTAGTGTTAGCAAAAAATAGATATGAAGATTGAGATACAGAGAATAATGTGCCGCCAGTGAACAGTCCTTTTTCGATGTCATTGACGTCGGCTAGATCTTGATCATATAGAAAAGCGGGCCATTCTGATGCCTCGATACGGACTCTACCATTCTCAACTTTTTCTATAAATCTAAAAAAGAATGAATGCATATATGCTCATCAAATTGACTGAATAACGAACGTTGGATCATCAACCTTGTTTCGAAAACATTGAGGAATAATTAAACGAAGAGTAGCAGGGTGGTTGATGCCACGAAGAGACTTCGGATATTTTGGAAGATACGTTTCATCGTCTTTGAAAATTATCCAGTCCAGGATGTCACGACGGATGATGCCAGTGTGATATTGTCGAGCACATAGAGCACTTCGAGAGATCTAAGATATGTGCATAAATTCAAGGTACCAGTCAAAAGTGGGAGGGAACATACCTTGTCCAATGCATCGACATACTTCATTTGACCTTTCTCAGTATGTGCTTTCATTAGAAGAGTTTCGAGGATAGGTGCTATTAGTACAAGTTGATCCCATGCCTGGAGGAATGGTTGGTCGGATTCGGCTGGCCTATGAATGGTGAGATGAGTAAATGGTCAAAGAAGATCACTTACTCATATCCCTCTTCGAGGGATTCTAGCTTAGTCGTTTCAATTGCACTGATATTGAGGAATGCATCAACGGCACAGACAGCCCAGCGCCCAGCTTTGTCCATAGGATCGATGCGATGTTTTCTAGAATGACTTAAGTAAATAGACGATGAATGACATTCAAGAACAACGCACGGAATATGGATTATCTTCACGCGAGTCTTTTCCTTCCTACCCTTTTCCTTCAATGTATCATCTTGAGCTATGTTGTTGTTATTGCCGCCATCAGAAGAATCTGAGTCACTTGTGCTATCGCTTCCAGAATCGCTTGAAGAATCAGAACTAGAGGAGCTACTACCAGCATTGTTGTTAATTTTGAGTGAGCTTGAGGGAATAGAGTTAATGTTTGAAGAACGTCGAGGCTTTTTAGAGGATTTAGACAGCTTGACTACAGGAGTAGACCGTTTGGTGGAAGGCATAGTGAAAGTAAATGGAAAGAATTGACAAAGTTGCTTTGACCGCTTTTATAAAGCACATGATCACATTACTTGCACTCACGTTTTGACGTATAACGCTCCCTTACCACACTTGTTTCGCTGCTCAACCTCTATATATCATATAAATGGTTAAAACTATTTGTACATCATGCGGGAAATCTTTCGATAGAGGTCGTGGACTCTCTAACCATCAGAGGATCTGTCCAGGAACGAAACATGTACGGATAGACCAGGCCAGAAGCAGGGCTTCTGCTGCTGAAGCTCTTCGTAAACACCTCAAAATGAAGATAAAGAATCGGAAAGCAAAAGTGGATATCAGGGTAAAGTAACAATTCATTCTTTGTTAAAATTTGGTTGCTCAAGGTGATTCAGGCTCAGTCTGAACACGAAGAAGTTGACATGAATGGGGAGGACAAAAATCAGGACACAGTTTGGAAGGTACGCTAGACTCACATGTATACATCGAATTTAATTTTTATTGATTCATGCTCTAATCAGGATGTTGATACGTTTATGTATGATGAAAATATACCCATCGAACATGAGAACAAATATCAACCTGATGATATTGACTTACAGCGGGAAGCTGATGCTCTCATGCCAGTTGTTCCTGCAGGGCGACCAAAACGCCAGCGTTTCCTTCCTGCAACATTTCGTGACTTTGTCCCCTCTCAACCTTCCACTCTTCCATCCGGGTTACCATCCAAAACTCGAAATGGCTTGACACCTCCGCTTCCAATTTCCATTCCTGCAACTCCAACTCGGAGATCTCCCTCTGTTCAAGATATACATGCTCCTTCGTCTACAGTATCCACAGAGCCTGACCAGTTTGGCCTTTTTCGCGAGTACATTCAGTATCCAACATATGAACCAGATGAATTCAGCTCGTTTGACGATCTTTGTGATGCAAGCATGTTCAACATATCTCAGCCTCCTGCGCGCGATCCAGAGAGCGGCTTTGGTCCACGGAAATATGCTTCGGATGCGCTTTCATCATCTAGTCATAGATTTCAATCTTTGTCTAAGTTGACGGATTCATATGCTCCCTTCCCAAACACGTCTACCTACCACATGATGAAGTTTGCATATGATGAACGTAACGACAATTCTTTCGGCCTTGCTGGGATTCAGAGGGTAAATGAGGAAATTATCCAACAGCCTGGCTTCGATCCTAAAGACCTCCGAGGGTTCAACGCTCAAAGAGAAGCAAGGAAACTTGACGAATTCATTGCATCTCAGTCCGTCAATTCAAATCTTCCTTTTGACACTCATGCGGGCTGGAAGAAGAGTTCGGTGAAGATATCCCTTCCCTGTACTGGAAAGAAGAATAGCGAAGACAGGGCTCCTACAGTTGAAGTTGACAATATCATTCACCGAGACCTGTTGGAGGTTATGAAGGAAGCTTACTCATCCGAGGCAGCATCAGAGTATCATCTACGAGGCTACAAGCAGATGTGGGAGCGGGATGAATATCCAGAACCTATTCGGGTCCATGGCGAGGTTTATACTTCGGATGCATTCCTTCAGATGGAGAGTGAGGTTTTGAGCAGTCCAGCTGAGCCAGGCTGTAATCTCGAACGCGTTGTGGTTCCCATCATGGCCTATTCAGATTCTACACACCTTGCCAGTTTTGGTACTGCTTCCATATGTCCTGGTTATCTCTGGTTCGGTTCTCAGTCAAAATACTCTCGTGCGAAACCAAGTAAGTTCGCTGCACATCATCTTGTGTATTTTCCTTCAGTATGTCTTTCACATAGTATGCAAAATATCTGCTGAAGGCCTTTCTAGCTTCCAAAAACAGTCGAGGATGAGTACACGAAGCAATTCGGTCATGCTCCAAGTGATGAAATGAAAACTCACCTCAAACGGGAACTCGAACATGAGGTTTGGAAGCTTCTCCTCACGGTAGCTTTCCTTCATGCATATGTCCATGGTGTTGTGGTTGAAGGGCCTGATGGTATCCTTCGAAGACTATATCCTCGATTCTTTACTTACTCAGCTGATTATCCTGAAAAGTAGATATTTATTCTGCCATCGATTTAGTTGTGAATAACTGACAGTTTTATTTAGGATACTCCTGGCCAGTATCAAGAATCTCGGTACACATCTATGCCCTCGCTGCACCATCAAAACAAGTGAAGTTTCTGGAATAGGAACCCGAGAAGACATGGCTAGCCGTGAGACCTCTCGCCGAATCGACAATAAAAGGCTTCGAAAAATGATTGAGAAGGCAAGAAAGAAGTTCTTCAAACATGGCAAAGGGATCGGAAGCACTGCAGTCGAGAATGAGTTAAAGGGCTCCTGTACTCCTCACCGGGTACGTTTCCACTGATTCAAGCTTTCTCAACAATTAACAATATGCAGAATGCTTTCTCTGCAGCTTTCCATGATCTCGGGTTCAACTATTTTGCTCTTTTTGTAAATGATATTATGCATGAAATCGAACTTGGTACCTTTCGAGACCTCATCATCCACCTCATCCGTATGTGTCATGCAATGGGGAAAGATACTGTACAAGAGCTCAACCAGAGGTTCGTGTTGTACTTGTCATTCATATATGAATCTCATGTTCTTTAGATTCCGAACTGTTCCAACATTCGGACGTGGAACTATTCGTCGATTTGTTGACAATGTATCAGAATTGAAAAAGCTGGCTGCTCGTGATTATGAGGATCTACTCCAGGTATGTTCAACTTTTTATCCTCACTTTGAGTGCTCATTGAAGTGGTCTAGTGTGCACCAACTTGCTTCGAAGGACTCTTCGCCACCAGGTCTCAAGAGATTGATGACCTTGTTCAAAACCTGCTTGCTCATATGGCCACCTGGCATGCTTACGCCAAGCTGCGCCTCCACACTGACTTGACATTAGAGTCATTTGAGGTGGCAACCATAGAGCTGGGATGTCTCCTGCGTACATTTGCCATTCAAACTGCTGAAAAATTTGATACTCAACTCCTTCCTCGTGAGGCTGATGCTAAAGCTCGGCGAAAAGCCAAGAAGAAGAAGACTGACAGTCAAAATAGGAACAAAATAGCAGATAGCGAACCACGTCGCAAGCTTTTCAACCTCAATACCTACAAGTTTCACGCACTTGGAGATTATCCTTGGACCATTCGAACATTTGGAACCACAGACTCTTACAGTACACAGCTAGTGAGTATTATCTATATATCGCATTTCCGTTCTTTAATGCATGTGTAGGGTGAATTGGAGCATCGTCGTATCAAAAGACTCTACATCCACACCAACAAAATCCACTTCACATTTCAAATTGCACGGCATGAGCAGCGTCGACGTGCACTCAAGAATCTTTTACGAAAAAAACCAACTAACATCCAACATCGCGCTACTCGATCAAAGGTTTCAAGACCTTCACTTTCCTTTGATGACTCCGATCCTCTTCCGTTTACAGACCCTACCACACACTACCACATTTCATCAAGCACACGCTTCTCTGAGAATATAGTCACTTGGCTTGGTGATCTTCAATATGATCCTGCATTTACGGTGCGTCAAAGTTACCATTAGTCATTGTTAAGTCTTTGTACTGACCGATTTGTAGAACTTCCTTCCAAAACTTAAGGATCATATCTTGGAACGACTTCTTGGCATACCTCAAAACGAACGTGAATTTTCCGCTGCACAGCGTGCTACAATTACCTTCAAAAATAACAAGATCTTCCGCCATAAGGTCATACGTCTTAATTATACAACATATGACATGCGTCGCAACCAGGACTCATGCAATCCTCGAACCCACTCCGACATCATGATGCTCTCTGGAGACCCAGAGACCTCCTCCGAGCACCCTTATTGGTTCGCTCGAATCATTGGAGTCTACCATGTTGATGTCATTCATTCCAGTGGACTCTCTCAATCCCTTCTTGCTCAAAAACTTGACTTTTTGTTCGTTCGCTGGTTTGGACTAGCAAATGAACAGGAACAGTATGGTATCTCCACCAAGCACATGCCAAAGCTCGGCTTCATTGACACCAGTAATCCGGAATCGTTTGGATTTGTTGACCCTAGTAATGTTATCCGTGGATGTCACATTATCCCTGCATTTTCCGATGGGAAAACTGACCAATTTCTCGTTGGTCCTTCGTTAGCAAGACGGGAGGCCGATAACGGTGAAGATTATTTTCGCTACTATGTGAACATGTGGGTTGATCGTGACATGTTCATGCGCTTTCGTGGTGGCGGCGTTGGTCACAAGTCCACTCTCTCCTCCACCCGAGTTTTCGAAGAGCAAAACAATGTCAAGCCTGGAGATAAGGATAGAATGTTCGATGCAGCAGCTACTGCTCTTGTCCATGAGGAGGATGGAGAGAGTGATGCTGTTATTGTCAGTGAGGAGGAAGAGGAAGTGGAAGTGGCAAATCATGGTAGTGATGGTGAGTTGGAGGATGTTCTAGGGCCAGAAGATGGAGAAGACAACGGGATTGATGAAGACTATGAGGGGTTTGCAGAATATTAGTGCTTAAATTTCATATTTTGTGTTTCTCGGTTCCGGTTTCGGGTGGCTGGCTTTCGGTTTTTTCGCTGGTTGCGATGTGGCGTTCCTCGTGCTTCGTTGTACTGATTCTATAGGACCCTTGTACTTCATCGTACTGATTCTATAGGATCCTCGTACTTCATTGTACTGATTCTATAGGACCCTCGCATTGCATCGTGACAGTAGCTCCCATCGTGCCGCCTCGGGAGTCACCATACAGTACATATTCATCTCAGGATGCATCGCAAATGCACCTGGAATTTGCAATGCAACACATGCGACGGTCTCTTTTGCTGATGAAGATCATTTATAGATGATCATGATGTAGTTGGTTCAGTTTGGTTATTTACATCTGTGCGTAGTCTGCGCCGGTTTCAACAAAAATTAGTCGGTCGTTTTATTTGAGAAGAAGCTAATTTCGAAGATAATTAGCTCCGTTTAAGATATTAGCTCTATGTACTGACATATATAGTGAGCTCAAGAGTGATTAGTTAGCGTCGTAAGTCAAGGATTCAAAGCAAACAATCACTACTACCACAATTGCAACGACTTGCAATTGCTGTCTCAATCATAGCCTTCGTAGTAAGTCCCCACTCGATCGGGAATTTCATCGACTAGCAGTAGAGTATATAGAAGAACACACTCACTATCCTCGCCAGCCGTTTTGATTTCACGAAGAGAATACTCGTTGTCGACTTGAAGAGGTACTGTACATAATTTGGACATGGAAAACACAAAAGGAGTTTTTATTGTCTAGTGCTACAAGAATACTACGGCTAGCGTCAATAGTAAATACAGAAGATCATACATACATATGTCGCTAGGACTATATACACGTAAATTCATCACGGGCATCTAGTACACCGAATCCCTGTACTACGACTCAAGCAATTAGACATGAAAGGAAAATGAGCGAGATGACCAACATCAGAAAGGAGGCAAGAAAAGAAAGGGACAAACTTCAAGCAAGCAAGAAAAAGATAGAAACAGGGGGCATCAAGCCATCGTTGGCAAAGAGATTACCAAAAGCGATTAGTGTGTTGCATGGCCAAAAGAGTGGCGGCGTTTCTGCACCATGCGCTTTGCATTGCGACGCTTTCTACACTTTCCAGATGAGGTAGAGGCAGAGGTGGCGGCAGAGGTGGTTGAATTGCTTGTGGAGCTAGATGAAGCAACGGAGGCAGACGAAGATGTCGGCGTAGACGAGGAGTCCACCGTCGAAGAGGATGCAGAAACACTCGTAGAAGCAGAGGAAGAAGAGGAACTCGACGATGACGAGCTGGAAGCACCGTCCCATACCGCCGGACCAGGATTTACAAAGTTAGCGCCGTTGTCCGAGTACACATTGTATTGAGCGAAGTCACCGTCGGGCGCATAGAGTCTAGATGATGTGGAACCGGTCACTTATTGCAGGGGAGAGTAAATGAAAGAAGAGATTGAAACTTACGATCCAGCAGGAGTACCTTCGGGAAGGGTAACATCGCCACCATCGATAACTTCCACTTGGATGCAGCCAACATAAACTTGAGGACCAGTTGTTGCATCGGAAGATGTAAGAGGGTTGTGGACTGCCATGAGCTACAGATAAACATCAGAACCGAGTAGCTCTTGTCATGATAAGACAATGATTTACCTCATGACGAACGATATATTGACCGTTTTGCAACCCAGAAGGTACAGTCACGTTCCAAGAAGATCCATCCTGGACGAACTTGGCCATACCCCAAAGACCAGCGCCGGTAGGATAGTATGCCTCTGGCTTACCGGCCATTGTGCTCCTTAAATCATCTGAGATCGACTGGGAAAGATCAAGACCGTCCATCTCGAGTTTAACCCAACTGCCTTGGGAAGCATCAAAAGTGGTACAGTCACCGTTGGTGCAGGAAGCCATATATGTTGCGACGGTTCCCATTCTGCGGAAATGAACCAATGGATGTCAATTGAAGCAAGTAAGAAGAAAAGGGCGATCCGGTACTGACGCATGAACCCAAGGGTACTCTCCATCAGGCCAAGTCTTGTCTCCAGTACCAGGCTTATTGAGAAGTTCGGAAGTGGCACCGACCCAATCGATCTGAATGTCAGTACCTGCGGAGACCTGTATGGTAGCTGGGGCGCCAGATGCTCCTTCGCAGGCCATTTTTCTATGTCGATGGTAACGATGAGCAACAAATTTTGTAAAAAAAATTGGGACCTATAACTAACGAATCGTCGGTAAAATCGGTTGGAAGATTGTACGAAGGCCCGGACGCTTCGTACATTGTACGGACAGCAGTGACAGCGTTCTTGGCGTCGCCGGAGTAGTAAATCTGTTCGAAAATAGGACAATGAGTGAAGACTGAAAAAAAAAATTGAACATTTAAAGACCCACATTTGGACCATCGTTGTAGACTCCATTGGCAGAGACACCCAAGATCTGACCATGCGCATTGACGCAGGGAAGAAAAGAGCCACTTAAGAGAGCGCCCAGAAATAGGGAAGATATGAGGATTGTCATTTTTACAATTTTGAGTCGAGGTTCGTTGAGGAATAAGGGAACGAGAGGGACGTGCAAAGAGAAAGACGGCGCCTATAAGATCGGCAAAAAAAGTTAAAGGAACCTCGAGAGAAACAGAGACCGTAAGAATGGCCGATGCCAAGTTCTGAAGTGGTCGTAATGAAGAAAGAGAAAAAGCTTTGATCTATGGAACGCCATCTTTATACGCATCATTCTTTTTCCTTTTTTGTCAAGTTCAAACTTCAAACTGATGCGCTCGCCGCTGATTGCCAGCTAATGGTCACGCGCACATTGTGTGACGTGGTCGTAGTCTAGACTCTTATCTGATAACTTACCAGACCACCACTACTATGCCCATTGAACTAAAAGGAAGTTGTCACTGTGGCGCCGTAAGATTCAGTGTAGAGTCATCGACCGCGATCCCCTATCAGGTTTGTTCGAAACTTTATCAGTAACAGCGGTTTGGAATCTTGACAGCCTTGACAGCTTTGTCTGTGCTCTATCTGTAGGAAAGTCGGCGGCGTAGGTGGCTCTATCAACCTTGGTGGGCATTCGAAGACTCTCAAGATCCTGCAAGGCAAAGAGAACATCAGGTAAATGATAAGCTATAACTCCACCTTCGAATTACTTGCCATTGACCGATTACCTCTAGTGTCTACAAGGCGGTTCTGAACAGGGATACTCCGGATGAAAAGTTTGTGTCCTCGGAGAGAAGCTTCTGCTCGAAATGCTCTTCTATGCTCTGGCTATATGATAAGCAATGGTAGGCCAACAAATGCATAAGAATGCGGCAGAACTACGGACTTTGAATTGATCTCTACTATCTATAGGCCTGAACTGATTCATCCCTTTGCATCTGTCATCGATAGCCCCGAGCTGGAGCCACCAGAGAGTATGGTATGTGTGCTGCGTTTGCTGAGCCTGGAAGGTGTAGTAAATAATGTGATTTTCTACACATAGGTGTGCATCAAACTTGATTCCAAACCAGCCTATGTGCGTCTCCCGGAAGGAAAAAAGGAGGTTTACGACAATTATGGGAATTATTCGCTCGAAGATTGGCACAAAGAACATAGACTCTATGTTGAATAAGTAAACAAGTATTCTCAACACGCCGCTCACCTCGATATAGTATCGATATCCTCGTAACAACGATCACACAACGATGACAATGCTTCACGCTTTCTGAACGTTGGATGTTTCCGTTTAGGACACGTTCACAGTATGAGACATGATGTAGGAGCGAGGGCAGTAAAGATGATATAAATTCAATGGCGAGTCCGTTAATTGAAATATATATCCCTTTGACTCATCCAATGAAGACCCCCGCAAAGGAGACTAGTTTCCATATGTCAAGACAAAGTCTCATAAGGTAAGAAACTCAGGCCGCCTTGGCGGGCCAACAATCTCGCGCATTTGTCTTGCAAGCGTTGGCTGAACAGGTAAAAGATACTTCGAACATCTTCTGGGTTGTGAAGTCATAATAGATAGGAGTCTGAAAGGACCATCTACCTATTCAATCATGTCCTGTTCTGTCCTAAAGCAGAGGTCAGTTGTATCCTGCAAGAGGGCTTGAGATCTTGCAAAATCTTGAGTTACATCACCTTCAACTCTCTTCAACATTCACCCGGCGGGTCAAAGTTAGTACAACTACGTAGACGTCTGCAGAGACTCAACGCCACCAAATGCTTGTACCAGAAGAGGATATCTGACGCACTGTCCCCTAATGTCGGGCCAGGATTTACAAAGTCGGCGCCGTTGTCTGCAGTCAGATGATAGTATATAATCCCGCCATGGTATCATAGGTGAGTCGTCCATTATCGTTTTCTATCATCAACTCTGCCTGACCGCGTCCGAATTCTCAAGTCGTCTCATTCATTGGTTATCTCCTGGTCGCCCTGATCCCAGAATTCTGGCCATAAGTTTGACTGATCAAGTGTGGATGAAATTTACCTGGGAACGCTGGGACGTTCCAGAATAAATGTATTCCACAAGAACGATCTCTGCAATATGTATGGCGGTATCCAAGAGGTACTGCTATGTAGTAAGGGATCCGAGTCAAGGTTGAAGGAAAATGGCAAGGGAGTGCATACTATGCATTCGTCTCAATCATCACTTACGTTTTCCAAAGTTTCCATTATTAATATTCTGTTGCGAGTGGTCAATAAAAGAGTATGCATCTGACAAGGCTCAAGACATCTCAACAGCGTAAGTACATATGCAATCTTTATTCAGTCTTGTGCAGTAGACCTTATCAGGTCCGAATCGAGCCATAATACATTCTAAATTATTCCTGCCAAAATCACTATTCCCTGCAGTTTCTACTCGGATACGATACCCCAGAGTCGATGTCGTCTTGTATGCTCTTGCATGATAGTCGACATGAGATTGCTAGATTTTTCGAAGCTGATGTTTTAGGCTGCTTTCGAAGTTTGATCATGAATCCAAGTATCCAGTATCAAGTATCAAGGTCCTTTGGTGATACTGCTGTGGCGTTGAACGGTTACATTCTCACATCGACTTCTACCTGTTGTACAGTCCTTGTACCAGAACTGGCTCTTGATATTGATAGACATACAATATATACCGTATGGCACCACTTTCCAAATTCTAGGTACTTCAACGATTGTGTCGGACTTAAGCAGACTAGGGCATATACAGATGTTCGGGTCTGCTGGTGATTGTGGTGTTCTACAGTCGGTCTACAGCGGCCCAGGTACGGATTTCTTACTTTTATCAGCTCAGTATAGCCTCTCGTACGCGCAAAAGGCGTCTGGAGATCTCCTGGAATCTTAGCCATATAGATTTTTAAAGATCATGAGGCCCTCCCGCGGAAGTCAAATTGGCGTAGTATCTTAGTTGGAGACTGTTTTCCAAATTGCCTAATCTCCCGAACACTCACCAAAGTGCACGAGACAAGGGAATACCATTTAAAAAATATTCTGGCTTCATTTTACATGCCAAAAGTCTGCCAACGTATCTTAAGTCATCATGTCAGATTTTTTGTGTTCTGGAAGGGGCTTTTATGTTCAGGTCGAATAACAAGTTACAAGGGAGTTTAAAAGGAGAACAGAAACGTATCAGAAACGTATGTATTATCATGGGTCAAAAGGACAATCGTGAGGAATTTACTTTTGGAGGAACATAAAAAAACTACTAGAATCCCGTCACAGGTCATTTGTCATCTGGCGTAAGTCTATAGCAAGAGGTGATAATACTATACGTTGCCATATAAGCAAACTTTATGAGATTAACAGATGATAACGACGCACTTCATTTCAAAGCCTTCCGAATATCTGACTGTAATAGCACCGGGTCGGTCAAGCCAAACCAGGGAAGAACCACCAGGGAACAATCATAGCATATCTATCCCATTCTTCCGGGAAAAGTTTCTGCATTTGCTTGTCCTCAGCCTCCGCACGACTGATACCGACTGCGAGTGTCCAGACCCACCACGCTGCCCAGACAACAATTGCGCTACTGGAAGATCGCAAAGGTCCACATTCAGTGAGCCAACTGCCTTCGGTAAGATGCGAAAATGCTAATCCCGCAACAAGAAGCATCGATCCAGTATATGCAGGGTGACGAACGTAAGAGTAAAAGCGGGAAGTCACCAACTTATGTTCGGGCTGAACAGTGAGGTCAAAGGTAAAAAGCCGCCCAAGGGTTTTGAAACAATCAAGGCGAATGTAAGAGCCTAGCACCACCGCGACTATCCCGATTGTGAACATGGGGGACATGTGAATATGTGGCTCGCTAGTAGATGGACAAATAATTGTGGAGGCAATGGGAGAAACTGAGGACCATGTGCTGGCGTAGTAAAGGACCTCAAAGAAAGCACATATCCATAGGATGGTCATATGAATCTAAGCATCGTCAGTTTGGTGCTACTCCAGAGGGCAACCAATAATGTGAATACCTTGAAGATGAGAGGGGCAATCTGCAGGATGTATAGCTCCTCCGTATGGAATCTATTTTTCTCTTGGGTAGGGTTTGGGGGAGTACATGCCCATTGATTGCTGACTGCTTGAACGACGACGAGCGAGACTCGAACAAGAGACATTGAGGAAAAATGTGAGAGGCAGCGAAGTGACTCGGAGTTGGACTATTGAAAGGTCCATATTATATATGGCTTAAGAGGGACGCATGCTTCTCAGATGTCCATTTCTGAAGACAACTGTTCCGCGGATGTGATTTGACTCGTTACATACAAATATACCTTACTTACTCCGATATGTGATGATTTGACATTCTAACGACGGAGCATTGTTCTCTATCATTTGGGCCCGGGGAGCGACAAGCAGTAGAACTTTTCTATTTACCCAGAGTTTGAAGCGGAAGTTGAGGCTGAAGCAAAGTTGAAGCCAAGATCTCCAACTAAAATCGAGCCCGGCAAATTTCGGCTTTCATCAAAGAGACCTCGAGGCCGAGGACATCTATAATTGATGTTTTCTCGGAGATTCTCTCTTTTCACAACAACTGACCCGGTCGCCCTACTCCATAACCTCGGTGCTGGGTAGGGAAGACTGAGGTAAGAATGCCAGCTGGCCGCGAAGCACTACGAGGGCTTGGCAAAACACCTGTTTGCCTGCTGTACTGAACGCAAATAGATTCCCCTCACAGTTTCTGGCCACGGAGCCGTGGCCCAACTATGACGAGGAGAAAAACGAAAGCCAGCAGGTGGTTGATGTACTTATTTCTATCGAATCATTACGAAAAGAGGGGAGAGTACTTCGGCTGAGTCCGAGTTCGATGCTTGATAAGCCTGATATGGTGGGTCGACTCCGTCAACAGATACGATGTACAGTGCTTTGCGAAAAGCTTTGCACATGCGGATTTTTCGCTAGCTACTATCATGTGTTTCCTAATACATCTTTGGGCCCAGGCTCTTGTCGGGCTCAAAATACTTTTGTCAGTTTCCTTTTTTAGGACAAAATGTATTCTAATGGATTGGATAAACACAAATAGGTGGCAAAGGGTCGAACATGCAAAGAATTACGCCAAGCACTGTACCGTGTACGCAGCCTTGACCTGCGTTTTGCAAGCGAATCTAACAACTTTCATCCTACCGATGATACAGAGCTTATCGTCACATTTTGTTTGAAGCTGTCGAGGTTTTGAGGAAGAATGGTTCAAAAGAGAGTTCTCGCCTTCGGACCTTCCTTACTTGGTAACAGTATGAGCGCGCCGCATTTACATACGAATGTCGACTGAGTATTGAGCAGTGAGAATAAATTGCATCAGAACATGGCACACAACTTGGTAAGAAGAACGAGACACTATGGAACATCATATACAGACATACATTATAGCAAGGTGGTAGTAGAATACATAACCACATATCCGATCTGCATGAAAGAAAATCTACAAAGTTGTGGATTGGCGCACAGACAAGATGTGGAGTCAACGAAGAGCATCATGATTTATGAGCATGCATTTATGAGAGATCAAAACCAGCATTGGACATTATGGCTTGAAGGAGTTTTGAGCGCAATACTCGCTCATCATTGTAGCGTGGAAGCTGGAGTGATGGTTGAGTGAACAGAATTCTGATAGGCATTCAGGAACTTCACCTTCAACAAATTAACACAGGTGCTCGATGTTGGAAGACGATGTTGATCACCGCCAGCATCGCGTATTGCAAAATTAGGCACGAGTTCTTTGAACCCCCTAAGCCTCTGCACTTAGATCACAGAAAGATATTGAAAATCAAGAATCTCACAGTAATGGAGGTCTGCTGCAACTTGTCACAAAGCGAAGAAGGGCCCTGCGTTGTTCCTGGTCGAAGGTATTTACAACCTATAAGGAGCTTTATTGACAACGAGGCGAACTTATGAATGTAGGTGTACGTACGTTCCAAAATGCTACAATAGTAGGCTCATTGGGGTCATATAGTCCGCCGTATTTCGTGTTGGCTTTGAGATCATCTAAATCGATAGGTGAGTTGACACCTCCTAATAGAATTTGCAACTCTTGCTGATTGAACATTCTGGAAATCCCAAGACACATTAGTTAACAAATGTCGGCGGTTTAGAACAACATCAGGGTTGGTCGAACAAATATGCCACTATGGATCTTTCTGATCCACAAGAACAACTTGAGAAAGTTGGTATGAAAGAATATAAATTGCGGGGCAACATGGCCACATATTGAATACTTTTGCACAACCATACAAGGAAACTCACCGAATCCATTTCGGTTCAATCATTTCAGAAAGACCCTCGAAAAATGCTTCACTTTGCATTTTGATTTGTTTGCTCAGCTTGAAATGGCAAACCAGGTAGATGTATTGAAGCCGATTTTCCTTAGTCACCGCAATGTTGGATCCATTGCGAATTAGGTCGATGGTCCGTGTCGTCCCAAATTCTGGACATAATGGTGAGGCAGACCCAAACCATAATTGGCGCGGATCAAATACCTTCAACTTCGACTGTGAAGTTCAAGCTTAAGTCTTCAAAATCACCGGTGTGGTGTTTAAGGAACACTAGTCCTTTGTACAGATCGGGGTCCAACGAGGCAAGATCATCTAAGAATGATTGCCGACCAAGCCACTATCATCGGGAAGTTTGAGATGCAAGTGAAAGCCTCAGGAATGAGGGTACATACTTTGGCCAAACAGAAACCCGCAAAAGCAACATCAACTAAAATCCCTTCGTACATCGCTTTTCCCAAAATGCGACCGATAAACCGATACCAGCTCAGGCTGTGAGCTAGTGTACCATCAACTATAAAATAATTGTAATGTTCATGATTGGAAGCGTACCTTCAGTGGCGTACGCATGCGGATTGGGGTAAAGTTCATTCTTCTCATTACTCAACCAAAGTCCTCGATCGGTGTCAAAGACCTCCTTACACAGGGAGGTGAAGAATTCTTTGAAGACTCCACCACCGTCTATACCAGCTCTAGATAGAAGCAAACGACTCAGTCTCGACTACTCCAAAAACGAGAGGTACATAGCAGACGGGTGGAAATATCAGACGACGACTGAACTTACTCCTCTGCTCCGAATTGGTCGATGAACACAATCTGAATAGGGTTCTTCAGATCAGCATCCCCCAAATGATCAAATCCGTCTTGCGCCACACTACCGCGGCGTATCGTTACAGTCTGCTGTCGTTCTCCGGCACTAAATGCGTTTCTCATATCATTCATGGCGTTGAAGCTTGCCCAAGGATTGATAGATTGAGTGGACCGCTAGACAAAAACACAGACCATCAGCACGAGGCAAAGATTGCTAACTCTATTGGGCACTTACTGAGCGAGACGTCCTCCGGCCTGCGAGGTCCATGTGAATAAAGTTTCTGAAAATAGCCACCCGAACATGGAATGGAATGGCAAAGGGAATGTTGTTCAGGACACCTAATCGAGGCGAAAGATAGTTTAGCTTTCGCTTCGAGTAAGCGGACGACGCGCTAGGTGCATGAGATCTAGGCCCACGACGTGGCGAGCTAACGCTATCCATAAGAGCGTCTTCCAAAGATGCTTCGGAGTCATCCATAAGCTCTTGAGCTTCAAAGATAGCTGCCTCAACAAATCCTGCCATCTCCGGTGTGAGATGCATACCTTCACCATGCGGAGCACCATTACTTTCGGCATCATTCAGAACCAACCAACCACCCTTCGGCATAAATGGTTTACGAGCGTCACGAGCATTTATAGCGAGAAGACACTTAGTGACTTTTCCGCGAATTTCGAGCCATGTTAGTCGAACTCGGGGATTAGGTACAGCTGAAGTAAGAATGGAAGGCAATGGCTCGATCTCTAAATCACCACCATACATCCACAGAGACCAAGCAATATTCAAGAGTTGCCGTGTAAAAGTGGAAATTTCATCCAACGTGAGTGGGTTCCGGTGCGCGGCACTTGGCCTAGTCCCTATCACAGTTGAATCGGAAGAGAAGAACTCGTCGTCACCCATAGTTATCAGACCATGAGAATACAAATCTGCGAGAAGGAGTAATGGTGCCCAAGGGTCCTCATCAGCATTAGGTGCTGTCATACCGCGAAGCCTAGCGGAAGAGGTTATGGTTGGTTTCAGCGGTTCCAAATGACTCGAACGAGATGTGGCGACGTTGGAACTTGCATTGTTATCTACATCCATGTCACCGGAAGCTTTAGGATCTAATGAGACTAGGTTGCTTCCTAGTCCTCCACCTCTGACCCAACCTCTCCAAATTTCCCTCACCAATCCTCCGCCGTTCCATGACCAAAGATGAGCAAGTATGTCATTTTGCTTTGAAGGCCAGATACCATAAATGGCGTAAATGAAGGTTATGAGAGGGTAGCGCGAAGAGCCAAGAGATCTGGAAGCGGACAGGATAGATGTGATATGTGTTGGGGATGGGAGGTTAAGAAGTCTCTTCAGTGTACGAGAGTCAAGGATAGGGAGGGCAAGGGGAGCTGAAGTATTGAACGATGAGACTATAGAGACGCGAATGTTTGCATGGTCATCCTCCGAGTCCGAATTATAGCCATCAGAAATCCTCGTTCGAACCGCGGAAGAAGTCGCAGACGGGCCCTCGAGAGCACCAGGAGGAATGATGTTCAACACATCTCCCAGAAGCCGCAAGTAAGCGGCTAGTGAAGGCCCTGGAAGCTTGCTATACCGAGGAGGTGTGAATGCAAGGAGATTGGCAATTAAATGAATTTTGGCACCAAGTGCGTCTGTGTTTGTCATATCAAGAAGGAACTCGGACAAAGGAGACGGCGCATTGGAATTGTCACCAGAAGGCGTAGCGTACAGGACGGTCATCTTCGTCAGAGGGAGATGGGAAGATAGATGTGTAAGAGTGTGTAGGGGCAGGCGATTGGGAAGGAGGGGAATAGTCAGAAGATGAATGAATAGGCCTTGCATTGCCAATGTGTATTCAGCAGAGGGTACTTCGAGAGTAGAAAACGGGAGTGTGGATAGCGTAATGAGCAGAGGTAAAGCAGGCGAAGACTTCATCTCAACAGGCTTGACGATGATGAATAGCCAAATTTGGATGATGATAATAGAAAAAGAGTAATTGAAGGTACGAGACCCACGAGATCAGACTGTGAAGAAATGAAAATTAGAGAAGGATGGACTTACGATCGTGTGTATTGAAGAAGCCAATATCGAGTAGAACCCATGCGAAAGCAGGTATGCCATGAACTCGTTTACTATTTTACGACGACTGAACGATGAGCCGGTTTCAGGCAGGGATGAAAGGAGTGAATTGAGAAGATCAAGATGGGCGACCGAACGATCAAGCCTGGCCAACACGGCAAATTAGAATGGGCGCGCGCAAGTAGCAAAAGGTTGTTACTTACTGAGCATTACGTGCTACTTCCTGCAGTAAAAGCAACAACACTTGTTTGAGCAGCACCATATAACTTTGACCAGCATCATTTGATGCAGCGAAGAGATCATAGACACGGTCTAAAGAGCAGTATATTAGCTCAATACCAAATCGAGAGAAACAACACTGATCCAACGCACCAGAGCCATATTGGATGAGATTTCTGGACCATTTACTAAGAGTCGTGTCTGGTGTCTGCTTCCGATTAACAACGACTAGCATGCGCAGAGTGTTTAGTCGCAACAATTCTCCCTTGTCTAACGCTTCCTCAAGATTTCTTCTGAGCTCCAGACGTACTCGCTGCTGCTCTTTCGTCCCGCGCCACCATGCTTGCACCTTCACGGCACTATCCGTTCGTCGTTTTTGTTCTATTCGTTCTTCGCGCCTGAGCTTTGCCTGGTCAAGAATAGAGGAATGTGAGGTGGAAGATGATGCGCCACCAAGATTAATCTGCCGACGACGACGGTCGGTGTCAAAGAGCGGAAGCATCAGGATTATGTAGAATGGTTAATGCGAAAGGTTTGGGTCAAAAAATCTAGGAATATCCCTATACAGTTTGGAATCGCAATGTCAGTATCCGTGTCGCGATTATCTTCAGAAGAATTTCAGCAAGCCCCAAGTAGAGAGTTTCGAGTAGGAGTACAAATTCAGACTGCACTGAATCTAGAAGATGGACGAACTTTGAAGAAGCTTGAGGCCGCGTACTTTCTTGCGCCATACTAATACAGACACGTGAATCATGACGCAAGCTTCAGCGTCCATTTATAAGCGCTTGAATATCTGTAGCGCCCTATACAGCTTTTTGGCTATCTCCGTGATGAGCAAACAAAGGAGCTCATTTTAGGATAAGATAAGGCCTGCGTACGAGAGACGGACTTAGCGCGCACTGAGCGCTTAAGATCTCTTACTCCCGTCTCTCATTGTCTCTCAGCTTCTTACGCGCCATATTCGTAAATTCCCACCCGCCCTCCCTTCCGACTCAGTGTTCGACCCTCTCACGCGAACACTCTGGCTTGATTTACCGCGCCAAGGTTGTTGCCCACCCGCGCGCGGGGCCAAGCCCCAGCCAAAACCTCAGACCAAACTTATAGAACCGGGGACTCACTTCACGCAAGTAGAAGTGAGCCCTGTTTAGTACAAAGTCTCTAAGCTACTTATCTTATTTAGATCTTGGACAAGGAACGTCAAGAAACCGCAAAAATGTTGAATAAAACGAAGGTCCTTCTTGGTGCGGGGTCGCACAACGCAAATTATCTTCAAACTTTGAAATTCTTATATGAGAGTAAACAAAAATTCAATAAAATAAAACTAGTGCCAATAAGCCTCAATAAGCTTTCTCGACGCCAACAAGGCTAAGTCACTTATGCGCAGCGGCGACTATGTACACACAACATATTTGTGCACTTGAGAGGAAAGTAGCGCTGGAGGGGCAGAAAAGCGACATACGTAGGGTATGAGAACGGATCATAGCATTTCACCTGTGACTAAGCTTGCCTTTGAGAATAAAAGTTGAGTGATGATCAAGATGACTGGAACCGCCAAAATTTAAATAACTCACTGTCCTCAAGCAAAACTGATTCGACCCGGGCTCGAACCGGGGACCTTCTGTGGGCAAGAGTGTTAGACAGATGCGATAACCAACTACGCCATCGAACCATATTCACTGGTATCTGTTGCCCATCTATGAAGATATCAACCAGGGCTCAGTGAGTACTCTACGGAATTACCTTACTTACATTTCGAAGATACTCACTAGGCTCCACTGTTGTGGACTGCACCTTGCTTGGGAAAGGATAAATTGAAAATCTGCAAAACACGGATATTCGGCTAAGGGCTGAGAGCAGATCCCAGCAGATCCCAGTACTGAAAGCACTGAGAGCAGGCTGATCTGAGTGCTTTCACTGCTGGGAAATGCTCTTGACTGCTTTCGGACCCTTAGCCAAAAATACAGGTTTTGCAGATGGTTAAATTGATAGTAGAACTGGTAGTATGGCAGGAACTAGGGAACAATGCAGGATTTATGTATGCAAAAAGTGTAGGGTGGTCTAAGTATCATCTGAGTGTCTGGTGTAGATTTTAGTTCAAGTATCAAGTGAAAAAAACAATGCACATAAGGTGCACTACAGGATATACACACTTCAAAAGCCTTGTGTTTGATTAATCTGAGTATTGAGGAAAGAATGCGGTGCACCTTATGTGCGCCGCAAGGCAAGCACAGAGCTCAGGATGCTTATAAACATTTGGCAAAAGCATGAGGCCAAGCACAACCAAAACGTGCCTGCACAAAACAACTTAACTTCCGGAGTGCAATAGACCTTGCAAGCAAGGTGATTAACCCAGTCGTGAGTCGTGCTTTCCGACGCTTTCTGCCAAAACCCATGCGCATTCCTTCGCATTGTGCGCATCCAGAGATGCACCGTGTTGAGGAGCCGTCGCAATTAAGCACCAAGAATCCTCTACGTCCCTTGTCGGATCTCGCAGCGGGGGTCTCACGTCTGTCCCCCCTGTTTGAGCTTTGAGAGAAATATAGGATACTGGCGCCCAAGTACATGCGTGACTGGAGATGCTAAGAAAGTCTGGGCGGTCCGTTTGTAGGGATTGAACGAGATGGTGGCTATCAAAATTAGGTTTGTCTCAGTCTTAAACTCAATTAGACGACACGACGTACGATGTAAATTCCACCAATGATTGAACAAATAAAGGCCCGATGAAGCCTGTCCATTGTAGGTGAGTGACACTCCTAACACGCGTAGGCGATGGAGGTTGGTAAACCGCGACGAAGGGATCGACCCGGTCATTAGCTTTAAGCCTGAGCTTCCAAGGTCAACGGAAGCTACAAAACAACGATGATCCTACCTTGTGGCGCCAAGCTCAGCCATACCAACCCACTCAAAAAGGCCTTCCATCGTCTCACACCAATCTTCCTCCCCCTGTTGATTGAGCCCCAACTTATTCTGAGGCCGAGGCCGAGGAGTCAATCGCACAACAGGAACGTGGACATCTTCCAAAACAGCCTTCTGATAGCGTACTGATACTATTTCAAAGGGGGCGGCAACTTGATACTTGACGAAAACTTGGAAAGCGGTATCAAGTTCTGAGGGGTCACTATTCAGACACAGTATGAACTGGAGTACGCTATGGCACATACCTTCGGGAGACATGGACTCTGAGAAAGCAAGAACGTTCCACAACGGTGATCCTATCTCCTGAGCTCTTCGTTCTTCCCATCTTTTCAATGCTGCCTCCCGTTGTGTTCGAATCTTGACGGATTCAGCATCCTTCGCGTATAACGGAATCGATATCACTGCACTGAACAGGTTGCTGATTAGTTATTGCGTACCTAGGCTGGTGAAAGAGGAAGAAATAGCGAGAACACACACCATGTCTTCCGTCACCTTGCTTCGACTTGCCTTTGCCAAACGCCACGCGCTTGCCTACCAGACCCAACCCATTATAGGTATCTTTACAAACAGACAGTGTCAAGACACCTCGATAGTCAATACACCATACATCTTCTTCCTTATGAGAGAATTTAGGTCCTGAGCCTGCGCTTAGGAAAGAAATACCGCTGAAGATGCGTCAGAAGGGAAGGGACTGGACGAAATCGTAGAATAAACTACATACCTCCGCGTAGAATATTTTTCGACGAAGTTTACACCCTCCGTGAAAATCTTGGAAAGAGAAATTTTTCCTTTTGCGTATCGAGGAACCTTCAAGGAAGTTGCCAGGGCAGTTTCGAAGGACACATTTGATGGAAAGAGCAAGTCAATCTGTGTAAGAAAAATGGTCAGGAAAAACGAACGGTGATGAGATGAGAAACAACTTTCTTGCTGAGTAAAGGGATGACAGCGAGCTTCGTTTTGGAGTTTTGAGTCCAGAAAGTCGAGTCCGGTGAATATTTCAACGCGACGATGGTCGAAAGTCATTCCAAAGGAGAACTTAAGTTACAAGCGCTACTGGTCGGGGCGCTTTTTCGATGAGTGACCCATGACAAAATCCTGATAAGATCTTTTTGGACGTTTATTATTTTGGCAGAAAAGCTACGAATAATTTACACGACTGAACGATTAATGTGCGTCTGTCTAATGTTTCTAACATACACATGAGATTATATGAAGCACCAGGTTCCACAAAAACAACAAAAGTTCTAAACGACAGGAGCCTTAAGGTATTTGCGCCGGAATTTGCTGTCAATGCTGTCAAGGTAGTAGGCTCCAGGCCAGATGTTATCAATGGAACCTTCGGGAACGTAGTCTTTCGCATTGTGGTTCTTTTCGCGAAGCTAAAACAAGATCATCAATATCATTTCAAGAAAAAGTATGAAATATCAATGAGGCTCACGTTCAAGGCATCGACGAAGTCTTGGCAGGGAACAACCTTCATAGCTGCCAACCGATTTGTCAAATCCATTTTCTCCCTCATCTCGGTGGTGTCACCCTTCACCTTGATGGTGAAGAAACTGGCGGCACACCCAGAGCCGAACGAGTAGAGTGACACGCGCTTGCCCTTGAACGAAGAGGGCTCAACGTTTGCAATTAACGAAGCCAGGCAACCATACAAGCTGGCAGTGTACATGTTACCAAGTCGTTTGGAGCAAGCCATTCCAGGGTCGACTTGGGCCTTGAAAGAAGCCTTGCCGGCAGTGATGAACGCTTTCTCGAGGTTCTTGTCGGAGAGAGAGGCTTTTTGGGATAGGGTACGGAATGCCTCAGCGTCGGCGATGTTGGCGAATTTGGATGAGGTTGGAGATGCAAGGAAGTCGTTGTAGAGCATACGGGCATGTCCTTTGACAGCTTGTTTGCCGTATGGGCTATGGAAAATGGCATAATCGACAGAGTCGATGGAAAAGCTGGGCTGACCGCTGATGCCTGCCCGTTTTGCGAATCGCGCGACTTTTTCGCGATAAGCGTTGTAGGCGAAGTCAAGTGCCGAGGTATAAGTGACGACGGATACGGGTCCGTCGACTTCGGGGTATTCAGATGTAAGATTGGGCTTGTAGAAGTCGTAAGTGTTTGACATGTGAGTGCCGTGCACGGCTACGCGAGCAATGAGCAACTGAATAAGACTCGGGACGAATCACACGTACGTTCAAGAGCGAGAGGAGCATTGGGACCAATCAGCATAGCAACAGCACCCGCGCCACCAGCAGGTCGAGCAGGGCCCTCAGCATATACCGCAATGTCACCAGCAACAACGATTGCGTTCCTGCCATCCCACGAGGTGGACTCGATCCAGTTGACAGCGTTGAAGAGCGCTGCAGTACCGCCGTAGCAGGCGTTCTTGGAATCGATACCCTCGATGTCACCGTTGCCGCATTCGGTGAACAAATCCATGAGATGGGTTTTGACTGATTTTGACTTGTCAATGATAGTCTCTGTACCAACGTCGATACGCCCGATGGATTTAGGGTCGATTTTGTATTTCTCGAGGAGACCAGAGACGGCTATAGCAAAAGAGGTGAGGAACAATGTATAATATCATTGAAGAAAAACGTTGCGCACCATTCAACGCGAAAGAGTTAATATCTTCACGGTCGTCAGGCCAGGCCATGTATTCCTGACCGAGACCGATTGTGTATTTGCCCTTCGACACACCGTCGAACTCTTCGAGGTCGGCTTCAGAGATGGACTACGTTGCATAAAACAATAAGTAATCAAAACAATAAACTGAGAGAAAAAACAAAAGCATACACGAAGGGGAAAGTAGACTTCTATGCCCAGGATACCAACATCCTTGGGACGAGGAATTTCGACTTCGAGGGGTGTAACAGGGATTGTCATGATGGTCGGCTTAAGGAAGGTTTGAATGAACGTTTAATCGAACACGGATGATTTTATAGTAGACGGATATGAAACAGAGTAAAAATATATGGTACGATACCAAAAGTAACTGCAGGCGCGGTATTATTTTTTACGCCATAAATTTTGCTTCCGACTCGTGACTTCTAGTTCTTGTTTCTATTGTTCTCCAGCAACTACAGAACAATACAGTACCCGGTTTTACCTCGCGATATTCTTCATATTCTGGTAAACTACTTCAAACACCTCGTCCTGCGTCGTTGCTCGATCCTACTGGACCAACGTTACTTGCTGGTCGAAAGAAATTCTGAGGAAATTCCCAATCGGTGTTGTCTTGCGTCGCCTCATTCCTCCATATTCTTTCAGCTACATAGCGCGTGTTTGATTGGGACATAATAAACTGCGCTGGTATCGGCTGCTCTTCTGCTCTACCCTGTCCTACTCTTCTCTCTCGGAATCTCTAACCCTGCATAATGATAACGGATGATTTTTGTGGCTGCTCTTGGCGGCCGCTGCATCTTCCGAAAGATCGGCACGCAAATCCTTTCGTGGAACGCCCTCTACAACCCCTCACAGCATATCGATGTGACTGCTAATGTACCTACAAAATATATCTGTGGTGCTTCTTTTTCGCCATCTGTTCTCTCGAGCAAAATCGATGACCTGAAGGTCCTCAACTCAACGCCCACACGATCTGTGTAATACCATCCCTCTATAGTTTTAGAGCTTTATTTTCCGTGCCAGATTCCGGCCGCCGGGCGTGAACACATCCCCACCGTAACATTTGCCCTTTCTAGAATCCGCACCCTCCGCATCTCATTCCTGTCTCATTCCCAGTTTCTAAATTTTCCGCAAATGATTGATTTCTCGAATCTGTCAGTTACCGTATAGCTTCTCTTGTGGCCTATCTTCGTCTCGATATTCCCGACTCCGTGAGACCAGCTACATATGTCGTACGAACATTCCGTCGTGGCAGGATTCGTCGCAAGGTGAGAAATACGATATGAAGATGATCCTATATTGAGCAAGACTAGTAATGAGCCTAGGGAGGAACTTTGAGAGAGGAAATTGGTATTTGTTGTTTGTAAGACAAGATGGATACTGGCTTGACATGCTCTCCAGCTATTGACTAAAAAGCCAGATTTTACAAATTGGCAGGTTGTGGAGGTTGTGGTGGCTGTCCTCTGGCTGTCCACCGAAACCTAATTGAAACTCGAACTACCGGCGATTATTCGGCCTTTGCGCTAACTTCGGTTGAACTTAACTTTCATGCTTGTTTCATTCTTTGTCAGTAACTCCAGTTTGTTTTAGGGAGAGACTGATTGTGTAGAGTAGTCTCGCGGGCCAGAATTCACGATGAGTGAAGAAAATTTCGTTCACTCATGGGAAGTCTGGATCTGACGAGGGAGGCCCACTGAGGGTAGCCTCGGAGTTTCAAATTGATCTAAGCGAGCGTTGGCCGAAGGTTGGCCGCTTACTGAGCTTAGCTTCCTTCCCACCGCCACTGCATCGATATCCTGTTCATCGCCCGAACTGTTCATCGCCCGAACTGTTCATCGCCGCGCGTTTGACCGCGTTTAATTCCTTTAATACTATCTATACCTAATACCAGTATATGACTATACATGGATTCCGATAATCTAGAAGAGATCGACGTCAATAATCCCTTCATTGGTTCTGAAGACGTACCCACTGTGTCCTCCGCCAACGCGTCCAACACGGGTACTTGCGACTCAGAAAATGGAATGGGAGCAGGAATTGAGGATCGAGATAGGATACTGCCTCTGCCCAGTGTATTCATGTTGCCTCAGCCAAGTTATATACAGAGTCAAATGAATGGTCAAGGTATATCTGTTGATCAATTCAATGTTGTTATCATCCTGACGCGTCAATCCCCAGTTTTTTCTCAACTTCCGTACTACTGCTACCAAGGAATACCTGTTGAACATCCCCAACCATCTCTTCTCATGAATCCGGCGCAATATTCAAATACAGTTCATCCACAAACACCTCTAGCCTATTGGCAAACACCGTCTGTTTATCCTCACTTTCCTACACCCTCGACCAGGTTTTCTTCACATCCCCACACTCCCAATGCCACTAAAAATGCGAACACCCATTCCTTTCCCCGAGGACATCGACCAATGAAGCAAACGGAAATGGAACAGCGGTTCTCTCGCGGTCTATTCCATGGAGTGTATGAGAATCCGGAAAAATATCGAAAATCAAGGGCGCAATTCCAATGGCCAGAGGATCTCGGGCTTCAGGAGCGTCTATTGGTTGTTTTCAATTGCATGTCTTTGGCTGGCTTTTCTTGTTTCGGTGCTTTCTTGTTTGCAGCATTCCAATGCAAAGTCACGTTCCAGAACCCTTCGGTTTCTAAAACCATAGCGAACTTTCTCCATTGTCCTAGGTTGGATTCTGATGAGCATCCTTTGTCTATCATTAAGCTAATATATAATCATCCGAAATCTCAGGCCTTCGAGAACCATGCTCCCAAAATGCCATCCTTTTCTCTGCCTCATTATGCGCTTCCACCTTCATCCCGAAACTTGTTGACTGTTCGAATCTGTTCTGAGCAGAAGAACAACACGACTCGGAACGCAATTTTGGATTGGGCTGTTCAGCGTGTGATTGAACACGTCGATGATGAGGCTGAAAAGCTCACTCAGCTGAAAACAGTCAGTAAGGGATGGAAGGAAAAAGTGAATTGGGATAGCATCTTGAACTGGAGCATGAGCGAAACTCAGGAAACTCTTGCGCTTACCGCTCCGGTTATATTTTTCTTTGTGACAACCATTGCAGTGAGCCGTTTTCAGCGGAAGAAACTCGATGCCAAAGCTATGGGCGTCACATGTGGAGAAACAGAACATTCCCTGGATGAAGAAGCCATTGACGACCTCCCGCAACTACCAACGAAAGGATACAAGAAACTTATTTCGAAATCATTACGCGATCCTTGGCTGGTAAGTATACATCGCTCTCTTTCCTTCTAGAAGTTGATATATGTTTTATAGGGATCTACCACTGTGATACTTACACTATTGTACCTTCGCTATCGGTATGCTGCAGTCTTCCCCACAATTATGGGTATTTTTCTATTCTCCACCAATACCAATCGGGAGGTGATCAACGTAGTGTCCCGCCTCGGTCTCTCAACTGCATATTCCACAATACTTGCTACACTTCACATCCTTGCGGCAGATTCCGCGTCGGTACTCCGCAACTTTGGTGCTGCTCTTGAGTATGGACCTCCGAATTTTCTTCTCCTGTTCGACAATGTCAACAAAAATCGTCGTGCATGGAAGCAATCACTGTTAAATCAGGATATTATGAGTTGCGGAACAGCAGCTACCCTTATTGTCCTCGAGAATGTTCTTCCGGGGGCATTAGACATGGCCCAGATTCTGCGGAACACTGCTTCGAAGGCCCGTTCTGCTTTAACCATTGACCACTTGCTTTCTGATGTTGATTGGAAGCACCTTGACGGTATTGGATCTGCCACAATCTTACGCATATGGATCAAACATGTATCTTCACTTTCCCAATTCCACGTTGATGTTGAGGAGATATTCAAGTCAAAGTTGGCAAAATATCGTCTATGCACCCGCAAAACCCAGATACACACTATGCGTACTACGAACATTGATGAATCATCAACTGTGGGCGCAAATGATGTTCTTCGTAACCTGGTCTTTGACCAACTCGCTATTTCGACGCACTGGCTCAAGTGCTTCTTTATATTCATCTGTGGTGACCAGCTCAGTATAGATCGGATACGCAAGCTCATTCTGTATACTTACAAAGGCGAAACACCTTCAAACAATTATAAATGGGCTCTTCCCGTTATCCAGCTCTGGCATATGAAGTACAACTGGCAACGAGTCATTGTTCAATGCCATTGGTGGAAAGATACAGGCAAGACAGTTTATGGTCTTGCACATGATGCCAGACATATACGACGTGAAAAATTCAACCCCGATAAATGTGACTTTTATCCGGCTCATCATTTACTTGAAGATCGTTTTACAGCAATGGTATTGCATGCCCTCCGGTATGTGCATATGTATAATTTCATAAGGCTTTTTTGCTACCTCATTTGACCCATTTTAGAATTCTATGCGAAGAGAAATGTGGTATAGTTACGGCGCCAACTGTATCATTACTTGACGGGCTCGAAACTTATTTCGAACCTGGTGGTCCAATGCATAACTATACATTTGAGCAGTTGGTTACTCTTTCAAAAGTGGTCCACCGCCGCTATATGGTTAGCGCTGCACATGAAGATGCACTTGGGCACACTGCTCGGCCTATGGAAGTATATGGCCCGCCTACAGCACCCGAAAATTCCAATGGTAAGCTGCCACTTCTTCATTACAGTACCATTTCTTATAATGGAACTCCGTAAGTGGGAAGCGAATCATATGCAAAGAATACACCCAATCTCGGCAAAAAGAAAAAATCTAGACGGTCCAAAGCTCCTACAGCTGAAATGCGGAACTATTCCTCGGGTGACCAGTGCTTAGCTAACGATATCTCTTTTATGAGAACATCCTTGTGGTATCTTGAAATGTGCTCAGCTATCGCAGAGGGAGATATAGGCCGTGTATTCGAGGTAATCAAAGTACGTATCTGAGTTCGATCTTTACCTCGGCTTCAGCTATTACTGGTCACTGAGCATCTATAGGTTCTACGGTTCTCCTTTTGGGGTGCGGGATCAACAAACTATGGGAATGAGCTGTTAGAGCTTGCCTGTAATTTTCTGTATGAGTTCACACCTGAGCTCATACTCGCAATCTTCGAGAATTATCTTGTCAACACATCTAACCTCGCTGGTCATTGGTTTGAATTAGACTTACTCCAGGAGCATTTTAACTTCTGGATAAAGCGACTATTCAACTCCAAGAGCCATGACTTTGACTCGGAACATCTTGCTGAATGTGTCAGCCTGAACATTCGGGGCCTTAGTATGCTTCGGGGACATATGTCCAAGCAGTTTGGACTGAGCGAAACCTCATATACTCACTCAGATCCTAGCAAAATTGCAGATATCAATCGTCTTGGATCACACTACCGTGCTCATAATATTCTTCGTTACATTCCTGCAAGAGACCAGCCATATCTAGTACCAGACGAGTACACGGCAGGTATCAATTATTTGGCTGATGGTCAGCTTGATATATTTTTGCAACGAACCATGCGAGGAGGGTTACTAGCTCGGGATGAATTATCAGATGGAGATATTGATGAGGTTGAGGGAATGCCTGCAAATCCAATCACAAGTGAAGCGGGGGGGTTGAAAACAAGCGAGTTTATTATGTGATATAACTATGCATTAACATGGGTCCCCTTCCTGCGTACACTAGTGTTCAGTATAATTTTATGAAGACGTTTTTTTTCAGGAGATAACCCAGGTTCTGGGGATCGCTTTCTGACCTCTGGTTCTTTGTAGTTTTGGTCAAATGTCATTGACTGCAGTGCTGCGCAGAAAGATGTGCTACCTGTTGGTCCCACTGAGATTGCTTCACTTTCTGACTCCATCTCCGGATCTGACTCGGTCTCTGTTTCCGAATCTTCGACAAGTGATTTAGAGTCTTCTGGCACCTCTTCTTGCCAAAATGCTTCCCGAAAAGCAAGCATGACACGAGTAAGAAAACCAAAGAGCTCAATCCCATGTGTGTCTAAATACCTCCAGGTTTGGGCAATAGCATGGAAGTTAGCTATTGTAGTGCAAGCATGGGCACAATCCACAATGGTTTGAATGATTTTTGGTGGAAGAAAGAAGTCGCTGGTGACATGAATATTATCGCCTCGGATTTTTGCCCAAGTTTGAGCCTTCCATTGACCAATCATCGATTCCACAGATCTCTTCATTGCTGGTTCCAAGGGCCGGTAGATCTTGGCGTTACCGCGGATTGCTTTTGCTCTATGCTTTGTAGTTTCGAAGTAATTAGCCCATCTGTCAATACACACAAGATGGGATGGAGTCGGATCATTTTGGGGTTCATGAATTGGGCACCGACAACTTTGTGCAAAATCACTAGGCATTTTATCTCCAAAATATGCACAATCTGAGGCTCGAGGACAGAGACAAGGTGTGTAATTATACCACTCCTGTGTAGGCTTTGGAAGCTTTTCACGGCGAGCGGCATCCTCTTTTGCCTGTGTTGTAGAATGGGTATTTATTACAACATTCCGGACCCATCCAGGGGCAAAGGTAACTGCAACGCTAGGCTGATTTTGGCGGCCACTACGACCAATTTGCTGCTTTCGCCGCTGAGGTGATACTGCCATGTCATAGGTGATCACAAGGCTAACCTTGAGATCTAGGCCATATGTGAGTGTATCTGTGACAAGTGCAATACGAAGTGATGAATTGGTATCTTCAAAGTCAGATACAAGCTGGTGGCGATAATCTTCATCGAATATAGAGTTGTACAGCCTGTCATATGCATGCAATTCACCCCATATGCTTCCCGGTAACGAGCTTGCCTCATTTTTGTGTGAAAGAGAAAGGAAGGAATCTAATGGGCACTCCAACCAACCAATCTAATACACAATATGCGAGTTCACTGCTATCAAATTTATTTAATAGCAAGGGGTAGCGTTGGCAAAGGTTCTGCAAAGCTTTGAGAGCTAAGCACGAAGCTTTGATCAATCAATTTGAATCGTTCTAAGGGTTCGATATATTCCTTTGATCAAGGTAGATTCAGCACGATTTGTGCTTTGGTTTGTATTGATTTGGGTATATCAAGAATTGGGGGTTTGAATCAAAGTAAATTAAAACCGAAACACACAGACCCCTACGGAGGGCTAGAACTATGTGCTGGCACAACCACACAGCGTGATTTGCCCTTAAGACCAACGACTGATCCTAAGTTCGAAGAATACCCAACAACTGGATATACTTCTCGCAGTCACAAGGAGCAGAACACGACGTTCCTATACTCACAAGTGCCGGGCCCGAATGGCTGCTAGCGAAGAGGTTTCAGTCTGGCGGGAGTGTGTCTTTCCTTTTTACGGATTAGCACTGCAACGTCGTCCCAAAATCACTTGTATTCCAGATACATCGGATCGCTATTTATACATACAGAATATAGAGTCGCATAGTACAATTAATTTAATACAATAAACGTTCGGAACCGCAAGGAAACTTCTACACTCAGTCAGATACCATTTAATTTGAATCTACATGTCCTTATTTGGTCCATATTGGTTCCAAGATTCTAGTATACCTCCAAACATAGGTAGGTACTTCAATATTCATTTAATTTAATTGTTTTTAGAGAATGACTCGAATGGTGTTCAACTGTCATTGCGGTTCAACACTTACTTCGATCGTTTGTCATTTCGTCCGGAGGCAAATCAGCTCTCCTCGATTCTAATCCTATCAATCTGATTCATCTGGATTAAACTAATTGCTTCTCTCTTTCAACAGACACCCATTGTGCCTATACTCTATCAAGGGAGTTACGCATAGTATTCATTTAATTGCATTCTTCAATGTTTTCTACGTCAGGACTCTTTGACATTCATTTGATATGTCTTCGGAGCCTCGCAGTCTTTCGATCGTTCTTCTAGTCATTTTCCTCAACCATGCAACTTGATTGGTCTATTAGACTAAATCGCAGTCCTTTAGATTAATGCATGATCTTGTTCTAGAAGGAGTATTTGGTAATTCCTGAGTTCTAGAAAGTCATTTCGAGTCAATCCTCGGTTCATGGTCACTTGAGTAAGTTCTTCCAAACTCCTGCCAGTGTAAGGTCCAATAAGAATACCCTTGGTATGTCATACGTGAATGGTCATCCTTCGGATGTAGTCCGAGTCTGGTATAATCCTGCTTGACAAACAGGTAGACTGCTATCCGTAGGTAGTATCGGGGATGGGTAAACTGACCAACTTGTGGTAGTATGGGTATATGGTCCCTTCAACTTGTTAGACTGATTCAGTATTGACTTTGACTGTCAATCTGGGTCTCAATTACAGTCCTCTTGATACAAATCTATACGTGAAAATGTCACAATTCACAGCATAGACGTCTAGCCAAAATTTAGGCGTGTCATCGGTAGAAGTTAGCAAATCAAGGAACCCTCGTAGCTCTCGAAGGTTAGTGGGGGCTGGCCAGTCGCGAACTGCAGCTACCTTTACCGGGTCCATCCTCACCTCCCCTTCTGATATAATGAGGCCTAGATATTCAATCTGTTGTTGTTCGAATTCACACTTCTCCGGTCGTAGGTATAGATCATGCTTCTCCAACCGGATTAGTACTTCCCGTACCACTCGTCGATGCTCCTGAAGATCACTGCTAAGATGAGGATATCGTCTAGGTAAACCGCTACCTTTCCAGCTGCAATGAGGTCTGCAAATATGGCATTCATAAGTGCTTGAAACGTTGCAGGGGAGTTGGTGAGACCAAAGAACATAACCTTAGGCTCGAACAGCCCTCGTGTGGTTGCAAAGGCCCCTTTCCATTCATGGCCTTTCTTGATTCTGACATTGTTATAGCCCCAGCGTACATCAACTTGTGAAATATCGAGCCCCTTGAAGCCGACTAATTATGTCAGCCACCAATGGGAGGGGGTAGCAGTTCTTCACTGTGTACTCATTCAGTTTCCGGTAATCCTGTACAAAACGGAGTTTCCCATCCTTCTTCTTCACAAAGAAGACTGGGGACGAGATGGGTGATTTGGAGGGAACAATGTAGCCTTTCCGCAGATTCTCTTCCAAGAAGCGATCCAACTCCTCCTGCTCATTTAGGGACATGGGTAATCTTGGTGCGCATGGTCGCTGGTGCTCCAGGTATGAGATCAATTGCATGGTCCCAAGGTTGGTGGGCAGGTAATCGTTCGGAGGCAGATTCTGAGAAAACCTTTTTGAAATCACGGTACTGCTCAGGGACCATTTCTTCAAAGGTTTTAACGGTTTGTCTCGGTTGGCTTCCTCTGCTAGCTGCTGGGAGTAAGTGAATCCTGCAGCGCACCAGACTTCCTCAGTCTGTTCCTCTAGGATTCCTGCTTTTACCCATGCCCGGCGAGTTTTATGATTGGCTCAGATTCGGTGTATTGGCGGTTCTTCCACCACTGCTGATTTGCTCTCTTCAAGGGTCGCTTCCAGTGGTACCTCAATCTGAGTGGGTTCGGTGGGAGGTTCCGGGTTCGGGAGTTCAGGGATTGGGCTTTCTGTGTTAGCGGCGGCTCGATGAGAGTATGAGATCTCCTCGTCTGGGACTTCTTCTATAGCTACTCGAGGGGGTTTTACTGAAAGTCGTCCTTTCTCCCAATCGATCTCCGGATTTACCTTCCGTAGCCAGGGGAGTCCAAGGATGACGTCTTCGCCCCTAGGTTGGTGATCAGAAAGTCCATCCACCGCTCTTGATTATCCACTGTGAGTGCTAGGCGTGCAAAATGGGTTATCCGTCCCGCTCGGTTAGGTGTTCCATCGATATTAAAGACGTCGATTGGTTTATGAAGGGGTGCACATCTTACATGGTTCCGGGTGGCAAAGTCTTGGTTCAAAAACAGGGCAGTAGCTCCACAGTCTACCATGGCTGCAGTTGTTATACTATGATTCCTTCCTCTTAGTCTCGCATGAATTCGGAAATGTGGGGAAATGGAGTTTAATTCCCGGATCGACGATATTGTACATGATGGGTGCGAGTCATACGAAGAAGTAGCGAACATAACAAACTGATTACGGGGTACTCTCGGTGCAGCCGAGGCGGGTACCCCCTTTAAAAACCCTGTTGAAAGCCAGAGGACGAGGAGGACATAGCGTTAGCACGATCAAGTAATTCCCTTATTTGACCAATCTGGTTAGAAAAGTCCTGGTTAGGGGGGCTCGGAGTAGCAGGTACGGTTGCAGGGGCAGATGTTGGGGTCGAGGAAGCAATCTGGACGGATTCATTTGGGAATAGGGAGAATGGTGTGGGTCCCGTAGCGGATATCTGCTGGCGTCGAGGTTGCTGGCGTCGGCCTCGGTCTCGTCCGAGTCCCATGAACTTGTCTTGGCAGACTGCTTCCAGATGTCCTCGGCGTCCACAGTAACGGCAGGTAGTTTCTCGGTGTGGGCAGTTTTGCTTGACATGACCTTGGGCTCCACAGCCGAAGCATCGTCCTCGCATGCGAGCTAGGAATGCCTCCCTAGTATTCCCATTACTAGTGTGGGTTGCATCAATGTCCATAGCGTGGGGGTCAGCAGGGGTAGTGTGAGCAGCATGTGTGGGAGTGTGTCCAGAGTTCCGGCCAGTCATGGTGGGATCATGCATGTAGACGTCCACTGATATGGCTCGTTTGATTGCCTCCTTCAAAGTCGGAGCAAGTCCTTGGGCGATGTTTACAATGATGAGATTTTGTCGGATCTCCGGAAGTAGGGCAGTGAAGAAGCATTCTCGTAAATCAATGTCAGACATTCCAGTCCGATCCCCAATATCCTTGAACTTCTGAGCAAATTCTGCGACTGTCTGACCTTTACTTTGTTTGAGATTTTGATCTCGCTGCGAGCTTCCATACCCGGGTCTACTGACTCAAAGCGTTGACCAAACTCTTTCAGGAACTCCTCCCAATTTCCTCCAAAGGGGGGATGTTCCGCATTGAAATGTAGCAAATGCGGGGTTGCCCAGTCACCTGCACTTTCAGTGAAGAACCCTAGGGCTGACTTGATAAGCTTTGCCTGACTCTTGGTGAGATCAGGTTGTTCCGATGCCCAGTTCTGGAACTGAGCCATGAAGCGACGCGCTTCAGCGCTATCTTTTCCCTTGAATACCTCGGGTTTGTTCATGCTGGACTTGGAGGATGAGCGTTCCTCCATGGCTGTAGCAAGATTGGCTACTTGTTTAATCAGCTGAGTCATGAGATCTTCTGCAGAGGCGGGTGGGGCTGGTGTGGCAGGCGGAATAGGAGTCGACATGATAGGAGTAGGCAATCGGGGTTGGGGAATTGGCAAGAAGGTGATATTGCTCACAGTGAGTGGCTCTCGGATTGAGTTCGAAAGGGCGTTGGGGCAAGGTTGAGACTGGCAATCGCGCCAAGTATCGTCGTTGTTATGGGCGTGAGCTTGGTCTCTGGGGTCAAGTGCGTGCGGGAGTGCGAAGCAGTCTATACTGGCAACAGGTGTTTCAGAGTCGGGCGGAACTGGGGAAGACGTGGTGTCTATAGACCCTGCAAGGACAACCTTATCGGTAGGCTGTCAGTGCAGTAATGGATCTTGACCTAATGTCACGAAGCGGCAGAGGCGGAGTGACTAGCGGAGCAGGGAAGCGGAGTGACTAAGCAAGGCGATGAGGCAGAGCGACTAAGCAAGGCGGTGAGGCGGAGCGACTAAGCAGAGCGGAGGCAAACTGGTCCCAGATAATGACAGAGATATATTGAGTATCGTAGTCATAGGTAACAATAAGTAAGCACATACCTGGTCCCAGATAATGACAGAGAGGTCAAGATGAGGGACCAGGCTGTGAGGGGTTGGCTTTATATACATAATCCGATCTGCGAGAAATGACAATGTAATACTGTACAGTTTAGGAACAAGGAAGGTGGCGGAAGCCAGTAGAAGGAGAAGGGTAACAGGTGGATCAGTAATCGATGATGGGGATCAGGTGGGTCAGTAATCGATGGGATTTGACAGTGATGTAATCGTACAAGTAAGGGCGTTGAGACGGTGAGAAAAGGAAAATGATAGGGGCTACATACTTCATGACAATATCGGGCTCCTCATCTTTAAGCCCCATCACAATCATGACAATGGGGATCTTCCGTTGGCACAGTACTTCGTAGAAGATAAAATAGTTCTTCTGCGCAATTTCGGTAATTCGTGGTGCACGGAGACAGAAGACCAGGAGGCTGATTCCATCTTGCAGGTCAGTGTGGACCAAATCGGAGAGCCTACTGATACAGCCAGGGGAGACCAAGTCACCATTACTCAACTTTCCATTGTTGAGGCCGGTGATATCACGGAAGGAATAGAGCTTCCCGTCTAAGGACACTTCATATTTTTCAACGCCGAATATAGATGGAGCGGCTGCGCTAGAAGTATGCACAACATCACGATTGGATAGCATGTTGATGATGGAGCTCTTTCCACATCCGGAAGAGCCGAACAAGAGCACGTTACGTCGAGGATAAAGAGGAGATGGTGTGATCATATTTACGGGTGACGAGGGAGACAGAGGAGACTTGTCAGGCTCCCTAGAAAGCATGGTCATTCGTTCAGCAGGAATGGTAGGATGATCAGGGAGAGGGTGCTGCTCCATGACACGATTTCTGAAGGGGGGTTGTTTGCGGCTGGATTTTGAAACCAAGAGCCTATGAACGTTATAAACACTTCCGGACCCACGGAACTCGTTTGCGGTAACTGTCTCTGGGGTCTTTCGTTTCATATGAGATCGATGGATAACTCAAGAACAATCTTACTGTGATTCTGCGGTGAATAAGGAAGTCAATGACAAGGAAAAATGCATGCACGGGTGAAACATATTTGTACACCTTCCACGAATTCGGGCGTTTATTCTGGCAGAGAGACGTGAGAAGGCGACTCCACACACAAATATGAAAACGATACCGAAACAAGGACATTCCACCAACAAACGTAGTATTATCAAAATAGTGTTTACAGTCTACTAAGTTGCGCTGCAGCCGTGCATCAAAGGGAAAGAAACGACGATCACCATCCAACAATTCAAAACTTAAATCGTTCGGAGCCTGTTCGAATCAACTAATTGGCGAAAGAGACAGGAGGAATGAGAGGCATGTCGAAACATCCAGAAACGGAATATGACATCCTATGCGAATGCGAAGGCTTTTATTCGCAGTCGCCGGGGTGGGTGCCACTTTCTTCTTATTCGGTCGTTTACGATTCGAGGGTAGGCATCGGATACTGGTTTCATGTCCGCTCGATTTGCAATGTCCCTAGCATCCTGTTCAGGAAGGAAACTCTTTAACATCTCATACAAGTCCGCCAGGCAAGGGGCTACATTATCCCCTAACCAAGAAGGTAGATTGCGATGGAGCCATTTTATGACTGCTACGAACCAGTTTTGGTTTCCTTGAGTGGAGGAATCAACACATAATTGTGCATCACTGAAAAGACCTACAACTTTCCAAGGTCTCGCATCTTGACAATGCTCGACGATCAAATCGCGCAAAAGCACCTTCGATTCATTGTACTCTTCCTGGTTCCTGAATTCTCCATTTTTCATCTTTTTTCCAAGCGTGGTGGTGATGCAAGCATGGTCAACAAAATGCATGTCATATTTGTCGAATGCATATTTATTCTCAGTCCACCAGGAGTCCATAGTTGGTTCTTGGTCTTCAAGTCCAGTCACTACAATGACGATGGGAACGGCCTTCCAACAGAAACCGTCATAAAAAATGTTATAGTTTCGCTCCAACGTCTCCGTGATTCTGGGGCCTCACATGCAGTAGACGAGAAGGCTGATACCGCCCTGTAAATCGCGTAGGAGGTGATACAGCTTGACGAGGGCATCTTTGGATACAACTGTACCAACGGTACCCTCGTCGAGACCAGTCGTGTCGTAGAGACGATATTCTTGTCTCTCGATTGTAACACTGTAAGATTTGTTTTCGAAGGTACAGCCTAATGCACCACTAGACATGAGAGCAGCCTCTCGGCCAAGTAACATATTGACGATAGAGCTTTTCCCGCATCCGGTGGATCCGAAAAGGATGATGTTGAATGGAGAAGGTAGAAGCGGGGCTGACGGGCCAAGCATATCTAGTGCGGTATGAGGGAGTTCTTGGAAGGAGTTCAAATTCCCTACGGCGTTGGACGGTTCTTCACAGAACTATAAAACACGGGCGACTCAACCAATTTTCAACCAACTGCCTGCAGTATTCAGGGTCTGTGATAGGGAAGGAGTACAAGAGGATTTTAATATGATTTGTTGTAGCAGCGGAACATCTACAGGAAATGTGTTATTGGGGGAGTGAACGTATCACACGTCGATGAGCACTCACTCTTTTCCCATGCAATCCAAATTTACCGTAGCCATGGTCATCCCTACGAAGCCCTTTAGTTAATTCTCAAGGATCATCCGGTGTATATAGATGCAAACAGGATGAGATAGAAGAACTTCAGAGTCATGTCACTTTCACTGCCGTCACGCACACGTGTTGCGAACTCCCTATCAGGTTCAGCCTCTTACTACTATTGGGCTGAGTCTCACCCCGAATACGAAGATGTCTGATCCTCCTTATGGAAAAGATATGTGCAACTACTGTATGAAAGTGTTTGGACGGGATAATCTGCGCACCTGTGCTCAGTGCCGGTGAGTTACGTGTGTTTTCCTTTGAATATTGGCAGTTCATGACATTATCCACCATGGCACGGTTCAGGTTCGTCAGATATTGCTCAAGAGGATGTCAACGCGCCGCTTGGTCTGCCCATAAAAAATCTTGCAAGACTACAAAAGACCTCCGCGAGGTCACGGAAAGTGACAGAGACATACACATCGCTAACGAAAAACTTTCGAAATGGATGAATACATGGAGAATGTCCTTGACCAGCTGGTAAGCTCACACTATGAAATTGTATGATATGGACTTCTTAGGTTTTACTGACTACAACATTTAACATTTACATAAAGGTCTCTATGGGCTCTATCACCAAATGCGTCGGAAAAAGATAAACTTGCCACACACTGGTACGCTGAGTAGTTGAATGTATCGGATCTGTGCATTCATCATTCCCGTCCATGCAGCTTTGTACTCCATCTGGATCACCGCCCAGATGCACCCTCACCAGCTCAATTATTTAGAGTGAGTAGGTCTGCATCCTTTCCTTCTGATATTGCACTAAGCTTCGACTATTCCTACATTCTCTTAGCTTCGGGAGGTGTCCGTCTTAAGCCGTTCCCGTGTACATGACCTCTTCATAGAGCACGATGTTTCACAACACCACATCGATGATTTCTCACTGACCTCAGAGGCGAAAACACAGTACAGATTATAGTTTTTGCAGATGATCTCAAACTTATGCGCCTATTCTATTTCTCAATACGAGATATTGTTAAACGTCAGGCAAAAGAATTAGATGACATTGATAGAATGATAATGGATGGTGTTCCCCGTGCTTTCCAAGCTTCAGTGGAAGCAGGTAACAGTGAGTCGGGTGTTTCCATATCTGAATATAGTTATACTAAATGAAGGTTATCCAAAAATGACAGTTACCGGTCACAAACAATATCTTCCCTTCATCGCATACTCGATGGCTCGAGCCAAAGCAGAGGCCAGTCCTGATGCACAGGACGACTCTTGAATTAGGTCCGAATACAAATACAGAGAGTGGTACATTTTTGAAGTTGTTCTGCATGTAAGAATGATTCAATCACGACAACGGTGATGTTGACGCCGAGGATGATGACGATGACTCGATGAGGGTCTTGAGGGTGTCTGCCTGTCATTTGAGGCTCAGGGCTACTCAGCCTGCTTACACCGATAACCAATGTGGGTTGTACTTAAATATAGAGATTTCAAGGTTCAGCTCAAACGTTGGAAGAGAGGGTGTAAGTTCACCTTAATTGGAGTCAGAAAGCAAAACCGTATCAGTAATTTTCTCGTTGGAGTTAGGGTCTTCATTGCTTGAAATAGCGACAACATCAGTCTGATCTGCTTTATTTACTGCTAAAGCATCCTTGGGAAGCGTCTGGGAGTGCACATCATGAGTTGTGAAATTTGAAGGTATCAGAGTATACACACGTCAACCGTAGCGAGTCCGAGATATGGATCGTTCATACACTAATTGAATCAGTTGCGCATTGTTTCACCTCGTCGCTGTAGCTCCGCTCTAGTTCCTCAGAGCTGAACGTTAGGCGCCGAAGAACTGGAACAACCCAGGATGAGCAGGCTCTGCCGTGATCGTTTGAGTGAACCCTCGAATAGAGTCCAATAGCAAAATCGTACCACTCCTTGAGCGGAATCACCATACCCATCGAGGTCTGCGATCTCAGTGTTCACAATCTCAAAACGGTTGGCAATTGAGAAACAAAATTGGAAATTAGAAGGTACCGGTAAATCCTCGCCAGGACACAGAGGAGGACAGCTCCAAAACAGTTATCAACTGTTTCTTGTTCGTAGATACACTCCTGATTTTTCTTGAGGGCGTGCATAATTGTATGTTCTGGCCGAAACAGTCTTTCAAACACGGATTTGAAGATTTATTTAGGATTAGGTATATTGAACCAATTATCGGGCATTCATACTCTTGAGCCAACACCAATCATCAAAAGGGAGTCACCGACCACGAAAATTCCTGAATGTAACGAATGGCTCGTTATGAAAACTTCTATTGCTTTCTTTGAAGTCTCGTATTCTTATAGGTTTCTATATCTTTTGCTCATCTTCTTACCCTTGTATGTGGTCCCGCAAACATGGCCATAGAAGAACATCCCATACTTTGCAAAGGATGCCTTATTCCCCAACCAGCATGTCTCCATATCTAGATCTTCGTCTTCTAAAGCGGTCACAACAAGGACGATCTGAATCTTCTGTTGACACAAGTCTTCATAGAAGAAAAAGTACATCCTCTACACAGTCTTGGTAATTTTGAGTGCACGCAAATGGAGGACCAGAAGGCTGACACCATCTTACAGGCCATAGATAAAATCGGAAAGCTTCTCGACGTAGTCATGTTCGTGCGAATTTCCGTAACCGCTGGTATCGTGAAAGCAATAGATTCCATTGCGTAGCAGCATTTCATGTTTCTCAATGGTAGAAGCGGAAGAGAAAGATACGGTTCTGGTAGTTTGAAACTCGCAATTGGGAGGGCATGTTGAGGATCGAGCTCTTTCCACTTCCATTGGGGCCGAAGAGGTTGACCTTGTTCCGAGGAGGTGGACGGGTAAAACTAAGACGCGGGGTCTGGCGATCGCCATCGAATCACCGTGATGAGAGTGTGTGGGGGTAGGAGGGGAGGCAGTGTTATCATTTGAGAAAAACCTGCTGCTACCGCATTGACTGGGGAAACCGGAATGTAAGGGGAAAGCGTATTCGGGGTCCTATAATATTTATGGCGGAGCGCCACAAATGTAGCTTATTATACGAACGACGAGGGGAAAGCGTGGTTCGGTAGCCGTTGATACCGCTGGGTTATGATTGCAAGTGCCTGCCAAGACGCATGCTTTGGTACCACAATCACTATTTCCATAACGATATTTGAGGATATCGATGTCTTTAAGCGCTGAACTGATTGGCAGCCTGAAGCACGATTCTTCGAAATGAACTGTTGGAACTAGTGTACCCCTTCGGGGCCCTACACCTTGCTTGGTTCAGTGCATAGCTTACAAATTAATGTAACTGTATAGCTAAAACGAAAATGGCCCGCATTATATCGCAAAATTGACTCTAGTGTGCAGCAGTATCCTCTCTGTTGAAAAGTATCTAAAAGTGATGTTGGTACATCAGTACCAAAGTATTGTGACCAAACTTCCAATCACGTAAAGTGAAAGCGACATCAATGGTCACCCCATTCAGAGTCTGTGGTAGCAGAGCCTCAGGCAATGGCGCACCGGTATGATCAACGGCGTTGAAGTTGGCAACTGCGAGGTTCTGCGATGTATCAACCCATCGGGGGTTGGTACGTTCTTTCACAGGAATCAAATCAGTGAGACATCCTGCAAACAGTTAGTGCAAACTCTATAGGTAAAGTTGGCCACTGACCATCACATCCTTCTCCGTAAGCACAAGCCTGGGTAGAGACAGTCAGCGTGGATTGAATGTCATTGTCTGCCACATACACGAAAGTGGCAGGGAGTACCAATCTTCATGTGCGTGTCCACAACGCCACCGCCTTCATTGAACCACAGGTAACATGTAGGTTCTCCCTCAGTCCGCGTAAGTATCTTCTGAAGATGCTTGATCTTCATTAGTGCAGGTTCCCAGCAATGCATGAGCAATAGTGGTAATGTTGAATGGTGATTCGGACGCAATATCCAACTCCATTGATAACGCAGTGTCAGATCTCAGTTTCAGTAGGACCTAAGCAAGCATTGTGCGACCGACAAAGATCGTTGTAATAATTGGTGAGAAGGTGTGCAGATAAGATAATGTGACGTGAGCCGAAATGATAATCTGAAAAAGCGTGGTAAAATCTTCACGCGCGCTAATCGGCGGACTGGAGAAGGACCTAAGCA